GGAAGTATGGCTACTTCTTGCCCTCGAACTTTTGACTGGATCCATCCTGGTAGCTAATAGTTTCGCGTGAGACGAAAGGGCAGCTCTAATTCAAAGTAACAAAAAAGGCCTCTAAAGCATAGTGAAAACCATTTGAGACACTTCAGATATATTTGGAAGCATTCGGTCGTTGCATGGATGCCCCTGTATGTAGTATCCAGTAGTAAAGTTACAAACTATGTACTATGTCTCATGTAGAGTGTGCTATTGGCGCTATGAGAAAATCATGTTGTCCGCAAAGAAGTCGAAGTCGAAGTCATATGTAGTTAACGGCTCATTACAAGTGCCAACGTTAGCTTTACCCACAGTTTTAGTTCCGCGGGTAACTGTATTTAAAAGACCAGTATTGATTTCATTTTACAATTCCACAGTTAAATGTACCAAAAAACCAGTTCACTGGCTGTATTTCCTGACGGGAGAAACATGGAATTTTATTTCCTGTCATGTGTTTTCTGTACTTCCACAGGTATCAAGTATTATATGGCGACATGCGGGAAACAGAACTGTGACTCAGTTTGCGCCTCGTTTAGTCTTCAATGTGCTGGAACAGGCCAGAGCTTTCCAAACTCATCTGCTTTATCCATATTTGATCATGAGTCTTTAGGAATTACCTGTGATACGAAAAACGACACAGATTATTACATTTACAAAGACCAACCAAACTATATATCTGCTTCGCCGCCATCCAAAAGATGTGCAATTGGCAGGTAGATGCACTGGATTCAAAGCTATACCCAGTACTATTGACTTTTACACGGCCAACAATGACAGCGTCCGTAGACTCTGCCCATGTAAAAACCCTTCAGGTGGGTGTTAGCTTTTGTTACTATTTTATCATCAAATCTCTCTTCTTTTCTTCGTCGTTATCAGTCACACTGCTTTTCCTCTCCCCCACCTTTGCCTTTAATTTCCTGTTTCTCTGTTTTGAACCAGTCTTCATTGTTAAGCAGTTATTTTGAGGTTTTAGCCAATTCTGCGAGACATTAAGGTCCACGTGTCGTTTCACCTTGACAGCATTTGCTCCTCTCTCGCTCCGTTATACGTGTTTTGTCCAAGTAAACCGGAGAAGCAAGATATAACGGCCTGTCTTGTTTTCAATATTGCTGTAAATATTTTACTAGATAATGAGTCAAGTCAGCAAATTAAAAAAGGCAACCTGTTTCTTAGCACTGTTAGCATGCTCGGAGTAAACTTCCAATGAAATTTCTTGAAGAAGTGATCAGTTCTAATTTATCAGTCACCCTTGAACCGGAAGATATTCCATTACTGAGCATACTGGCCATGGAGATCTAGATGCTGTTAATGCCCTCATCAGTTCCTTTCGGGATCCAAGTAGCCTGCGTGGCAGTTATCGAAAGGGAAAGGGGAAGGGAGGGAATAAGAGAAAAGAGGAAGTACAAGATTTCTTGTGAACGTTATTGATTGTTCTCTCGCCTTATTTCTTTCTTGATCCTGACAGGAACGAAGTCACCAACGCAGTCGACTCCAGCACTGACTACGCATATAATGAGATAAAAACTTCGACCTCAGGAGGAAAGGTATCATCTGCTCAAACCAGAGCTTCCAAATAGCATTCAACTGGAAATAATGCCCCTCAGCGTAAAACAGGGAATGAAGAAGAATCTAATAGTGGTGGATATCCACCACTGTAGTAGTATACTAAAAGAAAACTGTGAGATAATTGAGCACAAAAATGCTCCTGTATTACTTTTTGTATTATTTCTTGTGTGTTATGTTTGAGGGGAGGAGGTGGCTGTACGTAGGCTAACTAGTTTCCAACAGACTGAGGTGTAGTGTTCCGCAGCCACCCAAGCTGTATCTCACTGCCAAGACTACAGAAACCCAACATACCTATGCGGCCCATAGTTTCTTTCTGTGGGTCCCCATGCAACCTACCAACTGTCTAAATACTTAACTAACGTACTGAAACCGCTGACTGACGAATCTAGACACAAACTAAAGTCTACTGAGAACTTTATTGACGCCATTAAGAAAATACAGATACCGGACGACCACAAACTAGTGTCCTTTGAAGTGAAATCACTGTTCACCAGTATTCCACTTCAACTGGCTCTAGACTGTACTGAGAACGCTATTAAGAACTCTACTGTTGAACTACCACTACCTACAGACGACATTATGGACCTACTCAACCTCTGTGTGACTTTGACGTACTTTCAGTACAACGGCAAACACTACAAACAGTTACACGGTACAGCTATGGGCTCTCCAGTTTCTGTTGTAGCAGAAATTGTCATGCAAAAAATCGAGGAACAAGCCCTAGCTACCTAAACGCGAACTGTACCTCTTTGGTTACGTTACGTTGACGACACATTCACCGCCGTACACAAAGACGGAATCGACGATTTTCACGAACACATTAAGAGACAGAACGCGAACATACAGTTCACCAAGGAGATCGAAGAAAATGGTAAGATACCTTTTCTAGACTGCTTGGTCACTCGCGACAACAACAAACTAAAAACGACTATTTACAGAAAACCGACACATACCGACCGATTATATTGCTAGACCAGTCTTCGTACAACCCGACCTCTCACAAGGCTACTACTATCCGGACTCTGACGAGACGAGCGCAACTAGTTTGCGACTCACCTGACAGCCTACAAGACGAGACTGATTATCTCAACAACTTTTTTAGTAAGAACAATTACAACACGGACTTGTTAGAAACGGAACGTTCACAGTAACACTGATTCCAACACTCACATCAACTCTGGCCCTGTTACGACAGCGACTATACCGTACATCAGAGGCACCTCTGAAACTATTGCACGTATATTACAACCTTACAATATACGTGTTGCACACAAACCGATAACCACTTTACGGCGACTGCTTACTAATGTCAAGGATAAAGACAAACCGGAGGACAGACAGGGAGTAGTATACAAGATCAAATGCTGCGAATGCCAGGCTTCTTACATTGGTGAAACCGGCAGAAGCCTAAGCACGTGACTGACCGAACACAAACGCGCGACGAGGAATGGTGACGTCAACAATCACATTGCTGAGCACCATGGCCATTTAAAGACGAAACATCAAATTGACAGGGACTCTGCGACATGTATAACGTATTCTACAGACTACTATCAACGTCTTACTTTAGAGAGCCGGTTTATTAACTTAAAACAAACGCCACTGAATCGTAGCCAGCAGTTACCAGAGGGTCTCAATGGGGTTACCGATAGGCGTAAAACGACCAAAAATTTAGTCGATAGCCGTAAAAACTGAAAAATTTTAACCGTTAGCCGTAAATAGGGTAAAAAGAGTTAACCGTAAAAGAACTTGTTCCCTAGATTTGCTACTTTTAAGAAAGGTACTAAACTCACTTAATGGTTGCGTTTTTTTATTTCCCGGCTAGTATGACTCGCACGTTAGGCGAAGCGCCTTATAGGTGTTGACCAAGGCCTAAGCTTCATTTCTGCCACTCTCTCGGGGAACTAATTTTTTTCCATGGCGAAAGTGTGGCTTTCTGCTGGGGATTAATATTTGCGATTTTCAGGAGGTCGTGCCCCCGAAACACAACTGAAACAACACGCAGCGATGTCACTGTTTGTAAAACACATTGCCGATAAACAACATTTCCCTGTTTTTCGGTGACGCTACGGTAGACATTGCCGTACTTAGTCCCTGTACGGCGTCCTCCTACGCAATTTCGGTCAAGGCATTTCGGTGGCGAACGCGCTCGGACCACGTGACCCGAAACGCATTAGCCGCGCGGAATAATGAGGCCTACGGACAAGGCAACGGCAGACAGTCGTTCCGTGCAGTCCTTTGCTATCATTAAAAATACTGGACACGGCACACTAGAGCTAGAAATGGAGTATACGTCTGAGACTAGCCTCTGTACAGTCCCCCCCCCCCTTCCCGACAGACCGCCCCTTTTCCGATTTTTTCTGAGGGAATGGGGGTGGTACACAGGCTTTCTAGAACGGATAATCCCGTCTTCAAACTGTCCGTCCAATTGACGGATAAAGTCAGGCGGATTGTTCATTCAAAATTAAAACCATTCTATTTTCAAATTAAGACGTATTACCTATCTGACACGAATTATCAAACAGTTAACCCGTCTCACACGAATGATCCGTCTTTAGTGTGAAAACGGCCATTTCTGTTGTAATGAATGTTGCGCCTCGGCCTTGAGATGGGGCGCGTTCGCGTGTCGCTTTTGCTTTTTCTCAAAGATTATTTTTAAATTGACTATTGACATTTCTATGGGTAAAATATGTTAGAACTGGAATACTTTTTAAAAAGTATGATCTATCAAATGTTAAAATTCTTCAAAAGAATAGCTTATTTCATCCCGGGATGATCCGAAGACCTTTATTTTGCTTTAAAGATAAAAAAAATACAGGTTAATTAATATTTAACTTTTTGTAACAAAGGAAGTTAATTTTTAACTTAAATTAACCGATAGCCATAAAAGAGCCAAAATTTTAGCCGATAACCGTAAAAGCCACCACCCGGAGCCACACCCCATTGAGACCCTCTTACCAGCGCAGTACAAACGACTTATTGACGAGATCAAGCAAAACTAACTACGAGAGAACGACTGGAGAACTGACAATTTGCATTGACTGACAATAGACGACTGTTTAACTGTGACAATAGAAGGATCGAAACGTACCAATTATTGATTATGAGTCTTCATAGCCAATAACATCACGGCCAATAACATCGCGACGTAATTGACCAACCAGATCAATAACCAGCGTATAATACCATCAACTGACGTGATACAACTCACTTTGACTCTGAAGATGACCACCGCACAGGTTGTCGAAACGTCAGTCACTGTCAATAACAGTCCTATACTACGTTCACCCGGGCGATCAAACTCAACCTACTTTTGCTAACTAGTTGATATTGGTGGTTTTTCAAACCTCTCGAGCATGCTTTTTTTTCAGGTTCCGTTTCAACAGCTTAGGTTCTTGATTTCAGGGAGCTTCACTAGCTGCGAGGAACAAGTTCTTTTCATCTAAAATTAGGTTAGCCTGTTTACAGAAAAAAAGATGATACTTACGACATTGTTTACACGTTAATGGACACTGCTTTCTTATATTAGGGTAACTTGCATAGAAATTTATCCACCGATGGCAATTCACATCGTTATCTTTACAGGAAGCCGCTAAATGAAATAAAAACAAATTGTTTAATTGTTAAATAATGCATCGAATTCACAGTAAAAATACCCAGAATTTTGAATTTAATTAATTATTTTTTAAATTAATTAATAACATTTCGCTTGAACGTTTATTTACATTCATATCTGTTCATGTATTTTGAAGATATGGTGATCCCACTACTAAGAACATCATATGATACTAAGTGCAAGGTTTTGCACATATTCTGCGAGATAGCTCACACTCGAAGCGAGTCGAACATCGCCAAGAGAACATGCTCACATGGCTATTCCAGCTGCTTTTTCATGAAAATCCTCATCCTGATTCCCTCTTGCCCTTGGCCTACTTTTAAGTAAATTACAATATCTTTGCTTCTTTATCACCAACGAGATAAGAAATAACTACACCCTAATAGCATCGACATCAGCGTACTTGCTTCTGTAGCGTTTGTTGTAGATACAGTGGAACCTGTTTTTGTGCGATTATTCCATGTGCCGTTGATGTCAGGAGTACTTGGATTTAAGAACTTGGTAGTTCGCGTTGGGGCAAAACTGTACGATGAACCCGTAAATAGTACTGAGGATGATGATGATGGTGATGATGATGATGATGATAACGAAGGAAATAGTGATGGAGACGTCGGTATTGGTGGCGTGATTTCTGTAAAGAAATAGAGTATAATACGTCACTTTATTAGCCTGACTATGATTAGTCCGTTCACTTTATTAATAGCACGTTAACGGCGTGCTCACTAGTGCAAGTTACACGTGATCTGATGCGCCGATTACTTGCATTTGTAGTGCTCGACTGTAGCTTTTTCTTCTCGATGGGCAAAGTCTCTTTTAGCACCTAAAGCAGTAGGCTTTGTCTTACAGTGCTTAGATTTAGAAAAAAGATGATACCCCAAGCACACTACACTATAGCCTGAACTCATGGGCGAAGTTAGGGGTCGGCCAAGTTGACCGCGGCCACCTCTTTTTCTGTGATATTTTGCATTATTTCTTGTGTGTTACTTTTTAGAGGAGGAGGTGGCTGTACGTAGGCCAACTAGTTTATATTGACGGTTTTTCAAACCTCTCGAGCGTGTTTTCTTTTCAGGTTCCGTTTCAACAGCTTAGTTTGTTGATTTGAGTGAGCTTCACTAGCTGCGAGGAACAAGTTCTTTTCATCTACAATTAGGTTGGCCTGTTTACAGAAAAAAGGATGATACTTACGACATTGTTTACACGTTAATGGACACTTCTTTCTTATATTAGGGTAACTTGCACAGAAATTTATCCACCGATGGCAATTCACATCGTTATCTTTACAGGAAGCCCCTAAAAGGATATATAAACAAATTGTAATTGTAAATAATGCATCGAATTCACCGAAAAAAATACCCAGAACTTTAATTAATTAATGGCGATCGGCGATATCTGTTCCCTAACCCGAGTGGACAAGCGAGATCCTATGAGATAAGTCACGTGATCACTTAATGTAAAAATAAATGCTTTAATCTTGGACAATTAGGCAGAAAATAAAGAACTCCCCTCTCCCCCCACTCCGGAAACAAAAGAAGGATGGGAAAATGGCGCGTTTTGACCTTCGCGCGGCTCCATCCTTGTTTCACGAGGATGGGAGTGTTTGTTGTTCCATTTCATTTTGTCCAAGATTGCTGGCTCACAGTAACATTGCTGTAGCAATCCAAACTAGAACAATGATAAATTAATTAAAAAATGATATGGTTTGTTAAAGGGACTGGTTCACGATAATGCGCATGTGTGAGTTCTGACAGTAGCTGATTGTTTTTCAACCAATCGGAAGCGAATTAGATGCATGTAAGTAAATTTAAAAAAATTCAAATTAATTGTTCGCGACGCGAGAGTATTTCCGGGCATTTGGTTTGATTTTATTTATCCCCATAATTCAAGTTTATTCTTTGCTACTCCTCAGATATATGTTGCGGCCGATAAGAATAAGATTAACAGCCCTGTCCTGCTTTGAAACAAACATTTACCAACGTGTATTTTTACGAGGTCGTACCCACACTAACAAAGCAGTCACCGATCGGCAAACAAAATTTGTAAACAAACATCTTATTACTGTTCTCTCAGTTCGCCTTATATAAATCCAGAAATAGCTACAAATAGCACCTGACCGGTGACAAAAACATACAACGTATGAGTATAAAGTTTATCCTTAATTGAGCATAAATTTCAAATGCTTATCAGCAAATGAACAAATTCATTCGCGTTGCATCGGGTCAGTGTTCCGCAAAACAAATGTTATCGAGTAGCACACATAAAGAAACTAGATTATAAACAGAATACTCAGGCAATAATTTATTTCAAAAACATCAATTCTTAAACATATACGATCGTAAAGCAAAGATACAAGGAACATTTCAAGTGTACCAGATCGGTGAAGATCGCGCAGCCTGTTGCGGTATAAGTACAGGTCGGAGTCAAAAATCAAATCAAAGTTGAACGAACTCATGCCTTTAACCGCTTTCCAAGTGTCGTATATACTTTTCGTAAGCCACACACTACTCCCAGAACCATACCAGATCGATAGGCTAAGCTTCTCTATCTCCAAAGACTCTTGAGAACGTCCTGTTGCCGGACGGCCACGATGCTCTTCTGAACCTCCATGATAAAAACCTTATTTTTTACGTCTTCTGAAAACGTAACCAGTCAAACGACACAACCACACGTTAATCACCACTACCGAAGTATAACTAGACCAGCCAAAGCGACGGATGTCCGAATAAAACGAAGGATTTTCAATGATTGTACCGGTAATGGCGATTTCGAATTTAGTGTTGACCCAACAAATTTATTCTGAAGAGACAAACGGCGCGCATGCGCATTATCGTGAACCAGTCCCTTTAAAAGAATGTCATTTCCGTTTGAGAGTCTTTACCGTACTTTTAAACTTTCTAATCCAATTATTTAACAAACACAAAGCAAATCCATCTAATCAGCTAAAAAAACAATACATTATACAAAAAAACAATAATGTAATTTTATCTATTACAAAAACATAATGCCCTGTCATCAGCAGGCTGCTCCAAAATGTCTTTATAATTGCGTTCTAAAGACACTTGAAAGACCATGAATTTTACCCTCTATACAAAGTAATAAATAACGGGGATTTTATGGCAAAATTCGATGTATGAGACTACAATGTGTCGTCCAAATTTCTAAGGGTTAGATTTTAAAAAAGATAAAAAAAATTAAACGGAAAAGAAATCCTTTTCTAAACAAAAGACAAAAAAAAACAGAACAAAAATAAATTCAAAGGTCGGCATAAATGCATTCAAGTTGCGCTGCCTTAAGGTGCTCGTAAAGTTCTTAACTCAGAGTTTTTTCTTGAATTGAAAGAGAAAGGATTCTCATGACGGGTAGACTTTTTTAAGTATTATATTTTTAAACCAGTTATACAAAATATTGTTTAATTATGTCCCTTTTGTGTTAGCATTATTAAGTATTGCACGCGTAAATTGGCACCGGGATACGTCTTACTGTTATTGCACGCTTCATAAATTGACCACTCCAGAAAATACCATAACATACCATAATGCTCTTTGTTTGTCACCCTAAAATTTTCCGTAAGCATTGTTTTCAGTTTCTCTTGGGACCATCTTAACTTCCAAGAGAAACTGAAGACAATGCTTATGCAAAATTTTGGGGTGACAAACAAAGAGCATTATGGTATGTTATGGTATTTTAAGGAGTGGTCAATTGGAACAGAGGCAGTTGTTAGGCATGATATTCTTTCCTTCCACTTACTTTTTTATGATGCTCTACTGGATACAGCTATTTCGAGAAAGGTTGTCGGAAAAAATGTGCACGCGACAATCCCGAAAGGTAATATGGGATATGATCAATACACTGTTCCTGACGACTGTAGCTGTCGAACCTACTTCTGTTGCTTTCCTTCAGCACTCGCAAACACATTTCCATGGCCTTTCGTACCAATTCCTTCAAATTTTTTCTCAAAAAGAGAACTCAAAACCACACACAATGCCTTTAAGGACTGTCGCGTGCACTTTTCCCGACAACCTTTCTCGAAGCAGCTGTATCTAGAACCTATAGTAGATGTCATATGCATGGCCCTTATGGTCTTAGAATCCACTTAAAATGTGTTAATTATAAAGAAGTTCTACTCTTGAGGCCTCTCAAGAAATGCATAGAATGAAAATCCACTTCTCTCGTCTGAAGATAGGATCTACAAGGTTGCACCGATCTAATTTTCTCTGTATTGAGACAATGCAATGGCTGCAATGTTCCATTCTGTGATGCAAATAAGTAAAGAAAAACAGAAACGTACCTGAATACACGCTGCAGATGACGACCGACCAAAAAGACAGTGCAAAGAAGACAACATTCAAAAACTCCATGGATTCCTCAGATGTGTACGTTAAACTATCTGTCTTATAAAACCTTCAAAGTTCATACTCTATGTCACTGACAAAGCATTGAATTGGAACTGGCCACTGTGTATTTATATCGGGTTGTAAAACAAACAATTAAGTTTTGACGTTGCTATGGAACATGATGTTAAGTCACCACACTTTTTATGAATACTCATCGGTCTGGCACGTGCACACTTGTATCCTGTGACTTCGTTATCATGAGGCAAAATAATAGCTGAAAATGATACACAGGAAAATGATACACAGGAAATTAACAAATCGACCACAATTTTCCATGATCTACACTCATATAGACCATAGAAATGAAGGCATAAAATGTTCAAAACTCAAGTGGAACCACGAGTCGCAGGCGAGTGGTTTCACTGCAAGGTTTTGAACATTTTATGGCGTCATTTCTGTGGTCTATAAGAGTGTACACCATGGAAAATTGTGGTCGAATTTTTTTTTTTTTTACAATAACATTTATTATTCGAAAAATCAAAACAACCGGCACTGCGTGACATGTTAGGTCATTCCATGGTCTAAAATCTCATAGACCATAGCTCTCGACCAATCAGCGCGCGAGGATTCGCTCAGTTATCTTAAAATTGTCTTTAATGCTAGCTTCCATTCATGCTTTATGTCATGATCTTAGCCAGAGGTGTTTGAAAATTTTGCCTCTTCCAGCTCTCTTTCCCTCAGATCATAAAAGGCTGATTTTAAGACATGCTTTACTGAGTAAGCTCCAATCAAGTGTCAAATACACAACATTTTTTTATTATTTGATGGATTCTGTCGTTACTTGGTCTTAAGATACAAGAGTCATAGAGGTTTTATGAGTCTTTCATGTCCCGCATCGTTTTAGTAATCAACTAATAAAAAGTAAGCAAAACTTTCAAGCACTTTCTGAATTTAATTAACAAACAATGCATTACCAATCTTGGGAAACTGATCGAACTAGTGATAAATTTTTAGACTGGTTGGCATTGAACCGTTACCCACATATTACGCAATTGAGGTCATATTTATGTCTAAGTCATCTCACTGATATAGGGATAGTAATCTATGCAATAAAATACCCAACATATAGTGCATACCCCGACCGGCAGAATGTTGTTATTTGCCAGATTTTTCATTTTAATCCTCAGATTTTACAGATCTAGATAAACTTGGTAGATCTGCCGAAACTAATGTTACTTCTTTTATTTCGGATGCCAAAGCTTTTTAGTTATGCTTTATTGTTACTGTTGCTTGTCACCATGGAGTGTAGGCTAATAATTTAATGATTTGTCCAGCCCTATAGGCCCGATAAGCCCAAAGGAAAAAAAACCTTTTAGCATCTTTCACAAAGAAATACGTTAAATAAAGAAATTCTTCAACTCTTTCTTATCTCGGATTAGCGATAATGGGCCCCAAATTAAAAATGGATTGGTTTACCACATTCCACTACACTCTCTCTTATTATGACCTGTGAAACACTTGCAGGGGAGGTTTTTGTTCTGGGTAAGGAAACATTATAAAGGAAATGTACGCCTACAAAACTGGAAGCACGACCGAACGTAATGCAGGGCAACCATCCTTTAACATAATGTACATGCGCAACAACAAGAAGGGACAAATCGAGATTAGTGATTCAGAACGTTTTCTTGTCACTTAGGAAGGAAGCTGCATGGTTTGAAAGCCAGTTTGGACAATGCCTGTAGGAATGAATAAATGTGTTTTCAGAACTGAAGGCTGCACTTTTGATTTAAAAAAGTGGACTTTTCTTTTAACGCGAGAAGATAAAATCAAGAAAGGACTTCAGGGCTGAAATTACAGGCAGGGTGAGCTGCAAGAGCGGTTACGGGGAACTAGTGCGAGGCCCGCCCTCAAATGACGGGCGAGACCAGCTTGGGAGCACAGGAAAGCTCGCAGCGAAAACGATGATTGCCCTGTCCGCAGACCAAAACTGTACCCAATACCCGTAACCAAGGCAATTGAAGACAGGAGGCACGTATCCTGCGATCAGGCTATCCTTCTTCTACCCTGCGAGCAGTGGTTTCTCCAAGACGGACGTAGCGTCCGGCCTGGAGAAACCACTGCTCGCAGGGTATCCTTCTTCCCTTTTGTTTTGAAAAAAGAAAAGAAAACGCCTGATCGCAGGTTACGAGGCACGCAACGAAAATCATCAAAAAACTGTATCCACGGAATCTCACTCTGAGCAAGAGCGCAAGAGGTCAGAGAAAAACCTTTCTGGGACTTCAATTGTTTGGGAATTCATTGCCAAGACCACAAGAGCCATTTGTGGTTAAAATTATTCCCAAAAGAGGTTAGTCGGTCAGCCGTATACTAAACACAAGTGGCTTAGCTGTTGCCATAGCTACTTCAGTCAATGCATTTATAACTTTTCCGGGTGCTGTATGTTATGTTTTTGTCGCAACTAGAATCATTACGATTGTTTTTAGTCTGACAAAGCAGCCATTTTTTCTGACGTTTTGGCAAGATTTGAATTTGCGATTTATAAAGAGTCTTATTAATTTTCCCTCAAATATGAAGGGTAGTTAAAATAGGACGGGTTGAACAATGTGAAATTTAGCCGATCCCTTATTTGAATGTTACTTCACTGAAGTGATCCCCCTAATAACTTTTGATGACTTTCGTGATTTCCCTCCCCACCATGTCTTCATTTTTCAAGCAATATAGAGTGGTCCCCCCTCTGAATCTTTCCAAAGTTTTCAGCGATCCCCCCTTTTGACTTTTGCGTTCTCAGTTACGACTGATCCCCCCATTTGTTCTCCTAAAAATTAAGTGATCCCCCCTAAAATCCAGCGCCCCCCCTTTTCGCTTCAGGAGATAAATAATGACCGGTCCCTTAACAAACCCTAGACCCATCTACAGTCATTTCGAGAGGCTGTAGGAAAAGGGAGTGCACTTGACAATCCAGAAAGGTATTGTAGGTGGTTTTGAGTTCATCGTTCACTCCGAATATTTGAATGAATCGAATGGCACGAGAGAGGCCAGGACGTATATTTGCGAGTGCTATAAAGAAAAGCAACAAAAGTAGGTTCGATTCGACAGCTACAGTCGTTAGGAACAGTATATTGGTCATATCCATACTACCTTCTACCTTTCAGGATTGTCGCGTGTACATTTTTTCCGACAACCTTTCTCGAAATAGCTGTATTCAGTGCGGGACACTTGTCTTGGTCTCGAGGGAGTCCACTGAGTTGAGATATTAAGTCAGTGCCGGTTTACTCAGTCTGAGCTCAGGAGAAGCTGGTCTTGGCAATGAACCGACTACCAGAATTTTCAGCTTCTTTAGCACTGTTTTTCCTTGAGGCCTCTCTGTTTGAATCTTTGGCTGAGGAAGACCTACGTAGATTCAGGGTAAATGCAAAAGGGCAGTTAAGCTTAGAAATACAGTTGCCCGTAGTTACTAAAACATGGAACGACCTAAAACCACCTAAAACCATCTACAACCACCTACAACCACCTCAAAAACTCCAACAACCACCTACAACCATCTACAACCACCTCAAAAACATCGCTCTCATCGCTCCCTGCTGTTGGGACGTGTCTAGCTAACATCCAAGCGGTGAAAAGCCGGAAGAGAAGGTCAAAAGAGGCCACTGACTCCGTTATTATAAACAATGTATCAGTTTTACCCACAAAGTCACAGAATATTTTGCCTGAGGGCAATTAGTCCAGTATATATTCACCATGCCAACCAAAATAGGCGTCGTTTACTGGCCAATTAGAACTCTTCCTCGTATGTTATCGAGGATACAATTGTGTTGTTTAAACCACATCATCAACGTCAAACAAAAATCGAGGCTCTTGATCGTAGTCGTATTTGTACTTACTCCATGATAGAGCTTATCATCATAACTCAGCACGTGAAAGACCACGCCAATCTAAGAAAAACATAGTCGATGTTACAGCTGAATGTAAGCTCTCTTGGTTTTGATCCATCGGTGTCGATAGAGTTTACATTGTGTTGGAGTAATCATGTCTGCAAGGGTAGCATTTCTTGCCTTGCTTTCAACGACCTTCGCGACCAGCATATGGGCAAGCGTTGCAGGTAGGCGGACTGCGATAACACAAGTCAAAGAAATAAGGAAACTATACAGTGTTATAATGTCTTTAAACGCCTCGGACGTAGTTTAACAAAGAATTATCTAACGACTTTAATCACGAGAGGTTTGAAAGTGATCTCACTTACGTTTAATCCGCTAGTTAGAGACGTCATTCTCTTTCATCTTCTTTCCATTTTGAAAATAAATGAAACTTTAATACGAGAGCTTTTGGAGAACTGTCACGAAAAGAGTTTACGTTGTCAAGCAGGGCAAGTCTCAACATGACTTCCTACACAAACGCGGTTTCGATTACGTCTTAAAAATAGCGACAAAGAGGTTGAGTCGCAATGAACACTAAAACTTGTCAACAAAACAAAATGATCATGAGATATGATCGATGGTGCTAGTTAGTAAACGGCACTACTAGGGCACTTACATAGGATCGCTGACTTTATTCTTCAGTTTGGTTTTCATGGTATTTTATCCCGATTCACGCATTGTTAGTAATTGTCACGTAGAACAAACTTTTCTGGTTCGATTCACGGCCGGACCAGTATATGGCCGAGAAGGGGAACTCAGTGGAGGCTGCGCCCCAAGGTCCAACCAAATTTGGCTGTTAAGACAAAGCTTCCCCAAGAATCTAGTACTGGAAGTACGGCTACTTCTTAGCTAATATCGCGTGAGACGAAAAATCAAAGCCACCTAAAACTTGCGAGACTCAAAGTTTATAGGGCAGCTCTAATTCAAAGTAACAAAAAAGGCCTCTAAAGCATAGTGAAAACCATTTGAGACACTTCAGATGTACTTGGAAGCATTCGGTCGTTGCATGACGGAATGATGCCCCTGTATGTAGTATCCAGTAGTAAAGGTACAAACTATGTCCCATGTATAGTGTGCTATTGGCGCTACGAGAAAACCATGCACAAAGAACGGACCGCAGGCAACGGGCCTGAACAAGGAAAGACCGTAACCTTTCCAGAATGAACTGATGCTAAGGACGCTTGAATTCTGGTTGAATACTAATGAGGCGCAGTGGTGAGAGCACTCGCCTCCCAGCTTTGCGCGAAGTCATATGTAGTTAACGGCTCATTACAAGTGCCAATGTCAACTTTACACATCCCGCGGGTAACTGTATTTAAAAGACCAGCATTAATTTCATTTTACAATTCCACAATTAAATGATACCAAAAAACCAGTTCACTGACTATATTTCCTGACGGGAGAAACATGGAATTTTATGTATTTCCACAGGTATCAAGTATTTTATGGCGACATGTGGGAAACAGAACTGTGACTCAGTTTGCGCCTCCTATGGTCTTCAATGTGCTGGAACAGGCCAGAGCTTTCCAAACTCATCTGCTTTATCCATATTTGAGTCTTTAGGAATTACCTGTGATACGAAAAACAACACAGATTATTACTTTTACAAAGACCAACCAAACATTTGTATCTGCTTCGCCGCCATCCAAAGATCTGCAATGGGCAGGTAGATGCACTGGATTCAAAGCTATACCCAGTACTATTGACTGTTACACGGCCAATAATGACAACGTCCGTAGACTCTGCCCATGCAAAAACCCTTCAGGTGGGTGTTAGCTTTTGGTACTATTTTATCATCAAATCGCTCTTCTTTTCTTCGTGGTTATCAGCCTGCTCGGTTCCCCTCTCCCCCACCTTTGCCTTTAATTTCCTTGAAGAAGTGATCAGTTCTAATTTATCAGTCACCCTTGCAGACGTGAACCAGAAGATATTCCATTATTGAGCGAACTGGCCATGGAGATCTAGATGTTTCTAATGACCTCATAAGTTCCTTTCGGGGACCAAGTAGCCTGCGTGGTAGTCATCGAAAGGGGAAGAGGGAGGTGGGAGGGAATAAGGGAAAAGAAGAAGTGCAAGATTTCTTGTGAACGTTATTGATTGTTCTCTCGCCTTATAAGATGATTCCTTTCTTGATCCTGACAGGAACCAAGTCACCAACGCAGTCGACTCCAGCACTGAATACACATGGTCATGAGATAAAATCTTCGACCTCAGGAGGAAAAGTATCATCTGCTCAAACCAGAGCTTCACAAAAGCATTCAACTGGAAATAATGCGCCTCAGCGTAAAACAGAGAATGAAGAAGAAGAATCTAATAGTGTGAAAAGGATAGCCCTTTTCGCAGTCACCGCTATCTTAGCTGGTGGCTTGTTACTATGTATTTTGGTCCTATTGTTTCTATTCATATGGAGGAGGCATTTAAGGTAACTTAATCCAGTAATATGACGACCACGTGATGTAGTATTTGTATTAGATAAGAATTATTCACAGAAGTGGAGGTGGCTAGTGGTGGATATCCACCATTATACTGTATACTAAAACAGTGAGATAATTGAGTACAAAAGTGATGATTTTTTTAATCTTTTACTTTTACGATTGCAATTTTGGCGCGCAAGCGACTGAAAGGCCCTGGCGTTTTCTTGCCGACAAATAAACTTTTGAAGGCATTTGTTTATCTCTCGCAGGGAAAATTTTTCAAAAGGAAGTGTGAATCCTTCTTCTATATTTGAAACCGTTCTGTAAAAAAACAAACTATTTAGTTTAGTTTAAGCTTATTTATGACCATGTCAGCTAAATAAAGCAACGCAAGACTTAATTTTCATTTGTAAACAAAAAACTTTTTCACCACTTTCATCGATAAATTCAAGTCAAACAGACAAAGCTTTACCTTTTAAAACTTCCAAACCGGATTTCGTTACCTTCTTCGATTCGTGTATTTCGGGAACAGCTTGTTTAATTATTTGTGAAATTTCTTTGTATGTTACGGTAGCAAACCGGAAAGCCATTTTAGCTCATTTTTCTCGTAACTTAAGCGAGTTTGGTGTCGCTCGCTCGGAGGAGCAGGAGGTGAATCAGTGAATAGTACTGGATATCCATACTTTGAGTAGCCAATCAGAGCTCGCGAAAAACACTATCCACTGTTTTAGTATACATACTAAAAAGGTTTATTGGTGGCTACTACCTTCAGACTAGATCTACCTTCGCACGTAGTCGATTATCATTGTTGGGGACAAAAGCTTTGAAACACGACTTGCACTTTAATTGTTAGGGATCTTCAAGCGCAGAAACAATGCGAATCAAACACGAAAAACTAAGCTCGCGACTTGATGCTAAACGGAGTCCACATCTTGTACCCTGCCCAATTGACTTGTAATTTCTTTTCTTCGTACTTTTTATCTGTAACTGAGTAACAAAACAAATAATTATTCCTGTGAATATTCAACAAATTTCTTTACAAAAGTGTACAGTTCTAAAGCAAATTCTCAAGCGGGAAATGATGCCTTAGGACCTTGGGCTACTCGATGAATTGTCGCCTGTTTTAATTTCGGTTTTTCTTGTGCATGCTACTTACCAGCAGAATATTTTTCAGAAGTCAATAGTGTATACGTAGAGTTCGTGAACCGCTAGGGTTTCTTTCCGAGTATTTGCTTTTAGTAAAATCCAACTAGTGGTCTATTATCAATGCTGCGTTAAGTTCTGATTGGTTGAGCTACTACTAGGCTGTATGTTATAGCCCACTAGTAGCGCAAAGCTTCGGCTTTTTGGCGGCAAAAAAAGGATTTAAGTCTAGCTTTAACTAGCTAAAGTTGTTGTGTCTCGATATTTTTGACCAACTAGTTGAATTTTACTAAAACAATTATTCCTCTCGCCCTCATGGCCTCTTAGTCAATCGGCCCATTCTGCCTTCGGCCTCATGGGCTATTGACTCAGAACCCATTCGGGCTCGAGGAATAATTGTTAAATAGTTCTCGAGCTGTATGTCAGATATCAAAACTTACTTCTTGGAGGTTGTTTGTTGTTATTAGCACAATGAAAAGAGACAAGGAACCTCACAATGAAAAATATCGCGTTGAATATCACATAAACAACAACAGCACAGATGTTCTGAATATGATGGATGGTTTATCTATGGAGCCAGAGAGGGAGGAGGAAGGCGACAGGTGTGTTTATATCAATCCCAGATCAGTAGTTATCGCAGAATCTACGTGAATGGATCGGATTAAGGATTTTATTTTGAGGTATCACTATGAAAGACAAAGCTTATTTGAGCTAGGGTGTCTAAGGTAGCGGAAGGACAGCGGAGGTGTGCGGGCATCCAAGGACCACGCCCACCCCTAAACCACTTCTCTTGATAAATATGATTACAACAAAACTGAACACAAGGCTGGAAACACTGCAGAGGGATCGTTAACTGATTTGGCCTTAAATAAATCAGCTCACTGCCGTATTGCCAGCCTTGCATTCAGTTTCGTTTTAATTCCCACTTCAAGTAACGTCTGGCATTAGCATCTCTACATTAGAGGACGGTCAAGAAAGAACCAGTTGGATTATTTACACGTCGAGTGGACCTCTGCATTCAAGGGGTTTTACTATGGTTACTATATTTTAACAACAGGAAGTTATAAAGTTAAGAGTAAAGCAAGATAGCCCTTTTTTTCTTGCTTGAATTTTCCTCTTCACTGTACTGAGGTTGCATTTTGTGTGTTTCCCTTCGAGGTTTATTGTGGAATGCATGATCCTCTTAGGCCTCAAACGTTCACTGCTACAATAAAGATATATAACTTTTAGAACAATCAGTCTTTCTAACATTTTGTCGGTAAACCCTCGAGTAACAAGTGAGAAAAATACGAGTATAGCTCCTCTTTTCCAGTTCATGATCGACTCGCATCTTTAATCTCTTTCTCTCTATAAACTCGGAATTGAGCTGCTCTATGGATTTGATTACATCTATTTGCAGTGTTATTCCAACACTTGTCTTATATTCTACAGCTACTGTGAAAGGAGAACTGCCGATCTGTCAGTTCGCAACCCAAATGTCGACAAGGAAGCCAGAAATTCAGTGGTCGAAGAATCCAGGTAATCAGCCAGGCTCCTGAGGTGATCAAACTTCCCTCATGTTAACTATTTTGTTATTTTCTCGGGTAAAGCTAATCTATTTTTCGTTCTTTTTATCGCAAAGCAGTTATGAAAAATCCACTGATAACGTTCTATATGTCAGGTAGGATATTTCCCAAGAAAGAATTATTTATAATTCAAAACTTATTAATAATTCATAAAGAAAAAACAAAAGAAATCTATGTTTAATTAGTGTCTATATGTCTAAATATTAGTGCAAGAATGAGTTGATCTATTTCAGAGATTTTGAAGCTGCCCAAAAAAACTCGCAGTCGTGTATTATCAGGTTTAAAAACTCTAGGCTTTGCCTCGAGTTTTTAAACCTGATAACATACTCCTGTTTGTTTTTTAAACAGTTCTAAATAAGCTGCTTGTGTTAGTAATCAGAGGTTTTCTTATAAGAAATTAAAGTTACCAGTAGTCTATTCAATTCTCTGCTTGCAAAGTCAAATTAATGTACGCTATTTTTCTTTTTGTTCTCAATTTTGTTCTTTGTACCTAGTGGTTCAGGTGAAGCACATATTGCCCTGTCTAAAGAACAGACACCATCTGATTACGAAAGGTGAAAACATCGCTCTGAACTCGTCCATAGTTAGATCATCTATTTTCTTCATTCGAAATCATTTAATCATTTTTTGAAATTTCAAGTGTTTTAAACCCCTTTGTAACGAGTATAGGCCAGCATATACGAGGTAATAACTCGTCAGTTTCAAAAATCATTGGGTGTCAGCAGCGCAGGATTGTTTGAACCTGGCACTAGAATTGTAGTTAAAAAAAGAGCGGAAGGTAAAACAAGTACGTAGTTGTAGCCGTTAATTTGTGGCATCGTGAAAGTGACCTGTTTTCAGTTCCAAACTTCCTTTTGATGGATTCTTAATTCCGAAAGAGAGCCGAGTTAAAAATATCATTGCCAATAAATAAAAAATTCAAAGCTTGTGCCTTCCCCCCTAGATCACGTTCTCGAGCGAAAAATAATTTTTTTTTAAGCTTCGTCGTGTGAGGTGTTTCTCTCGTAGACTTCGAGCATTTTCTTTTTAGTTCTTTCGCCGCGCGTGGCTATGAGGAAAGAAGGACGACCACTCGCGGTCTATTTTTCTCGCACATCCATGCATTTATCCGTATTTGTGGTTAAATTAGCCTCAAAGCATACGTAGGCACAAAGAAGCGAAAAACTGTGACGACTTCTTTAAAGCTGCTAAAATGTAGGTCCAAATCACCCTTCCGATTGCCTGCAAGTACATTATCTTTCAAACACTTCACATTAATAATTTTAATTATTGTACATTACATGACTGATATTTGTGTTCAAATAACACTGAAAACGAAAATTCTGATCTTTTTATTTTCAGACTGGTTTAAGTCTCTGGATGTGGTGTATCTGACATGCATGTAGATCGACGATTCACCTCTGACTGTAGAAGTGCTCAGAGATGATCTTTCAGCAATCGCTCGCCTTGATTACTTTTATCGTCCGTTAGTTCCTGCTTAGTTACGAAGCAATCCTTAGTTGTAACTCCCGTTTGGGAATCCACCATTGGCAAGGAACAGATCCTTTAACTTTTTATGGCAAAAGCTTCTCTGTCCGACTTGCCAGTGATCTGTTTTCAGTGTAGCAGGCTTGCAAGCCAACGCTTAGGGCGGTTTTGCAGTGGCTTTTAGTTGCATTTTTAATCTTTTTGTAGTTGTATTAAGTTTTTATACGATAAACCTAGATAAATATTAAATTATACCTTTCAATCATCGTTCTCAAAGCTCTGCGCACTGAGCAGCGGATCCCGGCGATCACTGATTCCTACTCACGTGATCACAGGTTGGGAGGTGCCAAATCAGCCTTAAACAAACAAGTACCGCATCCCGCACGTGGCCGAAATCCCTTTCTAACGGCTACGTTTTATTCAGGTGATGGTCTTTTGATCAATGTTAATTTAGCCTTTCCACAGACCTTTTTCTTTCTTTCTTTTTTTCCTTCACATTCGACAACGCCGAGCGAAGCGAGAGCGCATTTAAAAGGAAAGGGGAGTGATTTCAACATTCACCTGGTTGATGCGAGCAAGCATTTCCTCCCTCCTTCCCCTCCCGATCTTTTCTTTGAAATGCAGGCTAAGTGATGTCATTCAATCTGCGCTGTTTAATATATATCAAACAATTTGCATATTTTTGTCTTGATCGCGAAATAGAAAAAGTGGAACGAAGGGGCAGTGAAATCATGAGACTAAGAACCTGGTAAGCCTAAACAGATTCTTATATAAATAGAAAAGAAGAAAGAGATACCCAGTTATGTGAGACCCATAAAAAGAGGAATGTACTTAAATTTAAACGCCTGACAGCTTTGTCTCCAAAGAAGATTCTAAAATTTAAGTGTACAGAAAAAAATAAGAACCTGCCCCTGTTTGGGCATTTCAACACGCCCTGGAAAAAAGCCCTTAACTTTTCTCGACGATCTCCATAAAAGAGAAAATAGAGGTTGTGTGAGCAGGCTAATGCTAATTCATGATAGCTGGGGAGAAAACAAGATAATATATAATGAGGAGGTCACGCCCTTCCGCCAGTACTCCATTGATTTCCTGTTAGACTGAGCTACACGCTGGCCTACTCAACCAATCACAACGGACATCAAAAGGAAATGGTTCTACAGTCTGTAAAGTCACACTTTATACACAAGTGTGATGTAAGGACGCCATTGTTTCCAAAAGCAAGATGTATAGTTGGCCAGTATATATTCTCGCATTGTCATTTGGTTGAGCTTTTCAAGGTCTGACATCGTTGAAGATTTTCACGGAGGAATGTTTGTCCCTTTTTTTTGTTGCTTGTTGTTTAACACAATATGGTGTTATGTTGAAGTAACAGGTAAGAAAAGATTCCATTCTGGAATAACTGCGTAATTTGTCGATTCTACCGTCATATTCTTGAGATACTATTTAGTACTTTTAAGCGAGGACTTTCTATTGTGTTATTGTTGTACTTTTCGAAAGGGCTTCCATGGTTCCAAAGACATATTTTCAGAACCTGAGCTTACTCATACTCAAAAGGAACACTCTCAATCAACTGAAGAACCGCGTGAGTCCGGAACATAAATCATTCAGTTGTTTGGCAAACATCATTTATACAGACGTTTTTCAAATTACAACCGATGAGTGTTACATACATTACTATTACTAAAACTCTCTCCTCCAACAAAAGCTCCCACTTCTATTGTGAAAGAATATCAGAAAGACGTCTCCGTGGAGGGAAGAGGTGGTAGACTGTAATAATTCAAGTATAGCGTTCATGCAGTGTTAATGCTTGCCTCCTGAGACAATACGGGCTATGTTCTCGTTTTAGTAATGTACTAAGGAAGATTTGGCATACCGTATATAAAATTCAAAGACGAGAAATCCTTGAATTTTAGGCAGGGAAATATGAGGCGAGAAAACCGCAAATATCTTATAAAAACTCCCACAAAAGGTTTCTGTTGAAAATATTTTGCGGTGAAATTTCTCCCCGGAAACTGATTTTTTTGTACAACAAATATTTTTCCGTCTTGTTGTTTTATATGAAAACTGGATGTGTGCCAGTGCGGACAAAAATAATATAAATTTCGCTCTGAAAAGAGCTTTGACACTGGCGACCAGGCTTCCGGTAATCTAAAGCCATGGATGTTATTTTGAGCGATTATTAAGGTGGGGATGGGAATTTTCGAGCTGCATGAAGTTTTTGCGCTATAAATTTCTTTCGGTCTTATTTCTTCTCAGAAAGTTTTCCTTTGCATGATAATGGTCCATCCGTTGGGTGATAACGTTCAATCCTGGTTACCATGTTGAATAAAAAAGTGTTAAAACCATAAATCTTTCACAAATTATAACTTGCAAACGTAAGCGGATGATAAAGTGGATTGTATCAAAACCCTAACCGCTCTTGACCTTTTTAAGCTGAGTGCCTTATAATCATCGGTAAAAAAACTAACTCGTTATAGAATGAAAAAGAAATTCAATTGCTTCAAGAAACGTTAACCAAGTACAGAATGAAGAATTTCAAATTCGCTCCGACGCCAACAAAAGTGACGATTTCTGTAAGACCAACTTTAAACTGAAAAGTGGTGCTGAGACTGCTGAGATCAGTACCTAGTTAACCCGGCCTTAAAACAGTCGAATAATACTGTCTTACGGCCTTACGGCCAATTACTTAATACTTACGGCTACCTCCCTACATCGGCCACTTTTCTGGCGCGGACAGTTCATTTATATTGACTCTTGTTTAATCCTCTCTACATTAACCACCTCTCTATAACGGCCACTTTCGTCTGTCCTTGAGCTAACCGTTGTGGAGAAGTTAAACTGCAATCAACACAATCCATAGAGCCAATCAGCTTCCAGATGACACAACCTGCTTTGTACCTTGTTTTGTTTTGTCATTTTTTAATGTGATATTGCCAGGTCAGAATCACACATCTACTTTACTCACGTTTTTCCGTTCCATTTGTCTCAAATATTTCCTGAAAATAGTATATAACTTGACTAATTTTAATTTGCTACATTTTAATAATTTCACTTCCCCTAACGGCATTAACCTGTGCGATCAGGCGATCGCCAGCGTGCCTTTGATTTTGTTTCGACCAAAATATTTATAAACTTTGATACTAAAATAAAAACCCTAACATTGATGCTAAAGGATGTCGTTTTTATGATAAACATCGCGTGCAAATCGAGCGCTGACGCCGTGACAACGTGGCCGGGGACTAACGTTTTTTAGCCGTGCACTGAGATTTGAGACCGGACCTCTGGAGCCAGGCTGTTAAACAAACATAGTGACGGCAAAATTAAAATTAAACATAATTCAAGTATCATTATCAGTCATCTTTTATTTCTTTTTAAAGAGATTTGGTGAGGTAAGCATGAAAAACGAGAAAGACAGAAAGGAAACGTGCAAAAATCACGTGATGCGGTTTCTTGCATGTTTCGGTTGCCCTAATTAATTTGATTTTTATTTCTTATTAATGATTTTATGCTAACTTGATTTACGGCAACATTTGATAGGAAGTATTAGAGCATATACGATTCATTTGACTTTTTAACTGTGTTACATTTTTCCCGCCATTCTCTTAGAAAGTCCCGTATGGCCCTCGGGCTCATACGCCCTTCCAATGACGGATACGGGATGTCCCGAAGATAAAAAGTTTTCCTGGTATACGGGACTTCGAATTGAGGAACTAGAAAATAATCAGAACGGAAACAAGCATTCAGCAAGTATCCACTCGATGTCAAAGATAGAAACATCTTATATAAAACGTTATTTCTGTGTTAAAAATGATACTGAGACAGATGAAAGCCGGCCCAAGTGGCCTGATGGGACATACTGTATCTATAAAAAGGGATATTTTTGTCCACAAGGATTTCATGAGGGATATGTCCTCTGGGATGATAACAACGGCATAAACGGGACTAATAGCAATACCAGGAAAGGGTTACTTCCTGAGGGAGTCTACAATCAAGATACCCTGATATATTTCTGCTGTAAGAAAACTGGATCTGCCATGAAGAGAATATCACTTCCAGTCAATACACCATTTTATTTGCTGGCATTTGAGGCGGCCACCTGTCAAGAGGTCGAGGGCGCTGTTTATTCACTGGAGTATATTGTTTTTGATACTGAAGATACTAATAACCAAGATGCTCGGTTTTACCCTTATCCTTATGCAGCTCATCGAAGAGATCCCACAATTTACTACTGCTACTATAGAGGTGAGTTTTTTAATGAGAAGAGCTGAGTTCTACTTTACGAGCTTTTTCGTTTTGGGTTTTTTGCCCTAAGCTGTAATTATCAATAACCTAACATGTACTTATTAGAGAGGGGGAGGGGGGGGAGTACTTGGGTTAATTTTAGCTTGATATGTGCCGCTGGCCTCTGGCCTCTCCCCTACCCCATTATAGTCTACTCTGTGGCCAATTATAGACCCCATCTTAGTCACTTGGGCAAATATGTAATTTTCGCGATCCCAACTTAGTCACTTTCTATTTATATTTATATATCTACCTTATCAATGTTTTAAATAGGTCATCCTAAAATGAATTGACCCATTTTTTAAATTGAATGAAGAACACTTTACCTTTCACCTGCAGTACAAAGATTCTGGTACGTTTGCTAAACGTAAATATGAAGATTTTTCTTACCCAAAAATCCGAAAATGTGCGACTCCATTATAGTCAATCCATTTGTGAAAAGGCGACCCACATCCAGCGGCACATCCCCATTAGCCTCTTTTAAGGAAGTACCCCCCCCCAACCGGAGCTCCTCAGGCTTTGTTCCGATCGCTGACTGAACAAGCCCTATAGTTTTCCGTATTGAAAGGTTCCTCTTATGTAAGGTTCGAGGTCCAATCTCAACCCTATGACTCCAGAGCACTCGCACAAAAATTCGTTAGACGTTAGTACCTATGTATGTTTTTATGCTGATACCGATCACCACTGAGAAGACCTTATTGAAGTTGCTCTGGACCGGAGGGGATCTAAAATGTACAACATACAACTTCCAACGCAACAATTCTTGGCACCAAATCCGTGCACTTAACAAAAGTGTTCAAAAAAATGGTGGATTTTGGGCTTAGTAAGTTTTTTCTTCCTCAGAATGTAAATGGCATTTGGGTCAGTCAAGGGGAACATTTGCCTCGCCATATTTCCCCGACAACTATCACGACTATCAAGACTGTCAATGGAACATTACGGTACTCAAAGGTCGTGTGATAAGGTTAAAATTCGACGTTTTTGAGCTGGAGTCCACCCCCTTCTCTTGCGGAGGTGGTCAGTGCAGTTGTGACTACGTGGAAGTCAAAGAAGAGTCCACCCTTGGTGACACGACAGTTCTTGGTAGATACTGCATGATGGCTACACCACCCAATATTATAGAGTCATCGACAAACAGACTGATCGTGACGTTTCACTCAGATCACGCAATATCAGCGAAAGGGTTCAATGCATCGTATACGACAATAGCATCGATCACAGGTAACAGCTTACATTTAATTACTGAGATCTCCCAGCGCACTTATGCTCGTACCGTACCTACCGGCCGTGCAGGGGGTGCGTGGGCGCTTAGCAAATGGTTATGCATACAAGGCGCGAGATAGGAATTTTGTGAAGCATTTAAAAATCTTTTTCGAGTAAGGGTAACCTAGTCTTCAACGACAACAATCAAAAATAGTTTGTATAGTTTTCTCATGGTGGGTAATCCAAAAAATTCCGGGTTCCTGCATTATTCCTGTTTAAGCTTATTGCCATTTTAAAAACAGGAACACAGAATTTATTTTGATGAAATCATATTTCAATATATAGATATTTTCCGCTTTATCTCGCTCTGACAATATGATTATTTGGGAAGAAGGCAGAACACAGAATGTTACCTTTTCTTTAGAAAAAACAAATGTTGTCTTTAATTCAAATTCCATTTCTGTGCAATTAAGATAGTAATACAAGGATGTCCAGGACACCTTCTTCATCAGCTGTAATGAGCATGCGTAGCTCAAGCAGAAGGTGGGTGAAGGGAGTCTTTACAACAGGAACTGAAGAAGCACCAACCGGATACAAAACAACGGGTAGAGCGCGAAACAACGTTACTATAGCAACAAAAAGTCTGTTCACCCGTGGATCTTTTAACCAAAGTGAGAGGACAATAACGTACAGATTAAATATGAGCAGTATTACACCTAGTGATCCATCCCAACTATCACAAGATAATACTCCTGTAACTTTTAACGTCCCATCGTCTCATGAAAGGAAAGGACTTACGCCGCCCACGAATCCAACCCGAACAGAAAGGAAGTCAAAAGAAGTGACTCATCGTTATGTAGGACAGTCATCCCGGTTGTCGAAACCACCTCGAAACAGCATAGGCCTGCCGTTAAAGTACTTCCTCGTCATTATCATATCATTGGTTTTATTAGTTCTTGGACTAGCGTGTTTGGTCTTCAAGCTTTGTAAAAGACGGTGAGCTAACCTGTTTTTTATTTTTGTCGATAGTCGAAATGTGAATCTTTGCTGTTTTTACTGTGGTGTTTTTTACTTGTAAGACTCGTGAGACATTAGAGCATCAGTGTTGACAACGTATTTTCTGGCATCCCGCTGAATAGAGAAGTTTTCCCCTTTCTAAAATTTACATGCGAAATAAAGCGTTACCTCTATAATTGTACATTTCTGATAAGAACCCTGTCAGTATGACTGTAAAACAAATTATTCTTTTAACTTTAGGAATATTTCTTGTATGAACTGTCTCGATCAAAGTAGCCCTTTTAACTGGGTGACCGACAGTAGTGTGAGAAATACCAGAGGTTCCTCTGTTCCTACATCTCCGATCAGCATTTATGGAGACAGGTATTGGATTATTTACTTTTTAAAAGACCACACTTTCTCCTAGGTTCCTTCACGCATTATTCCATTGTTAAACAACGTAAGGAATTATAATTATGCATTCTGTCAATCGCCCCATGTCCTCCACGCTTTTACCTTCACTGATAATGTAAATCACTTTCTGAGGTATTTTAGTTTATTGTCAGTGTTGGTATTAACTTCTGGGGAAAGAAAACGTAGGGATCCAAAACTGTCCTGGATTCTAGATTCCACTTTTTAGATTCCGGAGGTCGTCAGGTCTGGACGTGACGCCAGGTACTGGAATTCAGATTCCTTGTCAGTTGAACTTGGATTCCAGATTCCAATCGTTAGCGAAATTCCGATTCGTCCTGAGCTGTAATCCAAGACAATCTTGAATTCTAAATTCTGGATTCCACCATGTGGATTATAGATTCCACTGGATTACGCATTCCTTGTCAGTGGAACTTGAATTCCAGATTCATTTCAAAGCCCAGGATTTCGGGTTCCACGAGCAAAAATGTCTCGGATTCAAGAATCTGGATTTCCTTACATATGCCGATATCAACTTGTTTTTTTTCAATTTTTGTTTTGCACTTCATCATGATAATCATTGTTTACAGCTTATCCTAAATAACTGCCAAAGGAAGTGCCTCATTATCAGAGTTAAAACCAACATTAAGACTTACCTTTTCAAACATACTTACGAGGACTAGTATATAGTAGTAGTATATAAATTATCAAGTAGTAGTAGCAGTAGTAGTAGTAGTAGTAGTAGTAGTAGTAGTAGTAGTAGTAGTAGTAGTAGTAGTAGTAGTAGTAGTAGTAGTAGTAGTAGTAGTATATAGATTATCTAATCATATATCTTCTGGATGTTATCGTTTTAATTTTTAGGGATCTAGTTTTTAGTACAACTAGTAGGATTTTTATCGTAACTTTAGTGTCATTCAGATCAGGCATTCTTATCATTGACGTAATTTTTTTTATTCATTTTTAATTCATAATTAATTCATTCGTTATATTTTATTATCGTTCGATGTAAGTTTTTAATGCATTATTTTTCTTTTTATGAACTCTGTAAAGCGCTTTTTAAGTTCTCGGAAACAGCGCTATATAAATAAAGTTTACTATTATTATTAAAAATTTAATACTAACCTTTTCGCACACGAATACAACGCAGAGAAGCGGATAATAAAATCTATTTGTGCATTTACCTTTTACAGTGAAATGGAAGAATTTTTCCCGCTGGGAAACAAGTTAATCGACAATCCCCTATACCATAAGAGGTACTCATTTCGTTATTCGCTTATCAATGCTAAAACTCTGATGCAAAGTCGGACAAACTTACAGAAGGAAGATGGCCAATACTTTAGACTGCTATGTGAAATTTAATCAGCTGACAGTGTGTGTTAACATGAAATTTTGTCTTTTGGTCGGAAAATTGGAACCTTGTTCTTTTTTTCTTTCTTTCTTTTTGACTATTAAATTACAATATCATTATTGTAACATTGAATTTTATTAGTCACTTATGATAATGATAATGATACTAATAACAGTGCCATGTGCTATTTTATTATCTGCTCAAGAAGTGTGAAGAACGACTGTAACAGGCTGGACAATAGCAAAATGGAAGATAGTGCAGGTCCTCTTTGTGAAAGGAGGTAAGGGCAAAGGTGGAGAACTGGGGATAAATTAATAATTACTGATAAAATATTTTGTTAAGGTTAGCGTTACATCATAAATGTGAACAGTGACAAATCCAACATTATTTGACAGCTACGACAAACCAACTGACCCGCACGATCTTCAAATATTTCGAAAAGGCTTTACTCATTGCATGATAGTAATATTGTGATTTATTTTCTTCAGTGAACTGCTGATAGATCATGGTCAGTTGACAACTAACAACCTTTTATATGAGAGGTGAGTATAAGCCCATATATGTAGCATGTTGATTGAAGACAATACTGTAATTCACACAAGTTCATGTCATTAATTGATCATTTATATGTTTTATTTTTGTATTTCAGTTACGTCGATGGTTCGAACGCCAAAGAGGCAAGAACAGAAAATCCTCTTTATGAATAGTCAATCGTTTCCAAAAAATGCTGTATCAAGAAAAGGAGAAATAAACGTTTCCCACAAATTGAATAATCCTTAAAATTATTTTAAAAAAGGCGATAATCTGAAAAGTTAGCCTCCCTTGAAACCCCTTAAAGAGCCTTTAACGTGCTACAGCGGTGCAATCACAGTTTTGGTTTTAGGATTTTCTGGACCTCGGTCTCCGAAACCTGCCTTGTCTTTGGTTAGGTCTCCCTGCTTTCTGTTACCGGCAGGACGCGTGTTATCTTGGAGGTTTTAGTTGCCGGACTTAAGAGACTGGAATGAATACTCCAAACTGGCATGTTGGATACCTCGTAACCAGAAATAAGTGAATCGCAGGACTTCGCGAAGGAATTCGGGGCAACGGCAAGAAGTTGAAAGGAAAATAAGGCAATAGGGAAGCTGAAAATTTATAAATTTAAAAAACTTAAGCGATATAAAGAAACAAAACAAAACTGCGATAACTAAAAGAGAGCTGAAAGAAAAGAAAAAGAAAAAAGAAGAGAAGGTAAAAAGAAAAACAGGTACTACCCGAACTCGAGGCCTTCTACGCGACGGGCCGTATCGTTTCCACTAGGCCTCGTGAAACACGCTGGAGAAACTTCGAAAATATTTTAGTAAGAACTTCCGCAAGCGCGACCTGTATAAACATGAATTCTAAGGTACTTTTCAGAACAACAACTGCTCAGTGTTTTGACAGTGAAAACCCATCGTAAACGCATTTCATCGCATCTAAAGAACGGATGCCCGACTAAGCCGATACGGTATAAACTCGTCTGCGAGCAAAATGTGTTTTGTTACTGAACTCGATTTTCGATTTTCTCGATTTTCATGTGCATGATTTTGGAGTATCCATTCTAGGCACAACCCTTGATAGACGCCTCTCTCCTGAAATATGCTTGGCATTCTTGCTACGATACGCTGCGTGGATTTGTGAAAAAAAAAAATAACCAGGGTGATGATTAAGTTTGTTCTGAGGTCGAAATGTGTCGCTTAATAATCCCTGCCTTGTGACCAGAACTCTCCAGCACATTATGCTTGTTTTCTTTCATTAACCTCGTCCCCCGCGAGCCTCCGATGCCCCATGCCATTAATTTAAAGGTGTTTTTGGGCCCAACCTCTGTTTAACAGTGAATGCACTGCGTTAATTATTGAACAGACGAAAAATCTCCGCAAAGGTGTGCAGCATGGAACGCATAGATGTATGGTAAAAGTCATGCATGTGGATATTGACGATATTTAGCTATTCGTTCTTAAAGACACAACCAAAAGCGCGCAAGCAATCCGTACGTGAACTCTGTAGGACTGAAGGAGTAGCTATCCACCGTATTTTAAAAAAAACGTAAATCGAGTACATGAACTGTACAGTGAAAATCTCTTTCTCCCAATACGAACCACTTAATGTTCCTGAGTGAAACTCGTACAGTGTGAAACTTTATCTTACAGAGGTTTACGAAACTGCCGTAAGTATCATCACTAGCTTGTAAAAATACCGGGTTGAACACTTAGATGTTTTTACTCTAAACCTTAATCTGACAATCGGATTGCAAATAAAAATACAAACATGACGGACAAACAAATGACAAAACGGCTTAGCATGACAAGACAGGCCTGACCAATTTGGTTGATTCACTAAACTGTGATGCAATACACTTGCGATAAATAAATACTTCGCTTGTAGGCTTAATTCGCTATGCTCGTTGGGTTTCTTTCCAGTCAGAAAAAACCCGGCTGCCGCATAATGTTTTACGAGTTTAAGAGTATTTACAGTGCTACTAGATGCTACCCGATTTTAGCAATGGTGATCGTTAGCTGTTTATCTACAGAAGGTAAGCTTCACTTCAATGCATAGCGTCTTCTTTTTAACTGCTTATAATCAGTTACACCGTAAATACACCATATTGAATCCCATTACAATTTCAGTTATGAAGCTTTCAGTAGTCGACGGATATCTCGCCTCACTGAACATCTAATGTAATAAAATAGGCCGCTTCATGTTTTTCTCTCCGGTTCAATGAGATGCGGATTTGGCAACTGAATAGTAATTATGAACTTGGCTCTTTTTAGTAATGCGAGATATAGAATATCATTCATAACTACAATGAAAAAGAGCGTTGGGGTTTTCAAATATCAAAGAGTTTTTAATCGGAACAATACTGGGACCCGTACTGGGATGCTTGGTTGTTTTTTTCTTATGGGTAACCGAACAGTATTTTGGGAAACTGTCAATAAAATAGTTGCGCAGTTTTGAGGCAAATGTTAAATAGTAGAACAACTTAAACAGCAATTGAATCTCGATTTACATGGCCGAGCTCGAGGAATTACATTCGGAAAGATGTCCTCAAATACAGTGGAACCCTGTTGATACGGTCAACAAATTTGGCCGTATTAACGGGGTGGCCGTATTACCGGGGCAGGGTCAAATTTCAGATACACCATACATCCCACTCACATTTCGTGTACAACTGTGTTCTCATTACTGTGCTTTTCAAAAAAAGGCGAATTCAAAAGCCGCCTTCGCAATTGCGTTTTTCGCTGCCGTGAATCCTAATTACGATCACAAGCAACGAACTTTGACACACGGAAACACACTAAACGGAGCGAAATCCACCAATCACAAATCACAAACCATCAGACCTTTTGAACCCGTTGAAGTAAACTACTGTTATCTTAGAGGTCCGCTAAGATGTAGACGGCAGCAAAAAACGCAAACGTCAGTTTTGGCTTTTGAACTTCAGAATTCGTGTGATTTTGAAAAGCGCAGTTGTAATAAACAACAGGAAAGTAGATATTGCGTACCGTATTTGTACAAACTACTTGAAACTCTCCTTGACTGACACAAAACACTCTTAAAAATCGGTGGCATTAGACCGCCACAAATGCATTGAAAGTGACCATTGGCCTAAAAACAGTATAAAACCAAGCTCAGCTTACTAGGTCAATGAAATTAACAAATCACGGGCTTTTTTTAAATTTTCGAAATGTCTGACGAGAGGTCGTATTAACGGGGTGACATTGTAAAAGATTAAAATGTTTGAGATTTTAAAACGTGGCTGTTGGCCGTATTAACGGGTGATGTTAACGAGGGTTTTTATAAAAAAATTTTTGTCTGTTTTGTCGGGCCAAAAAAAGTGGCCGTAAGGCGGGGTTCCACTACATTAATTTTTATAGAATAAAGGATTGTAGCGTTCTGGTTAATTTTAAATAGGCATTGCTTGTTTTCTATAGTGCAGTATACTCACCGATGGCCCATGCGTAATATAATTTTTGCAGTCATATGTTGAGTTCATCGATATATCCAGTACTGGAAATCACTTTTTAATCTGCCTCCTATACGTCACCAAGATTATTTTATGTAAGTGTCACGGCAGATTGTCCGTTAGTCCGGTTCTTCAAAGTATAACTTAACAGTCAAATATCAGTCAGCTGAACTGCGGCCGTATGCCCCTTGTATTAAGGCCAGATAATTCCGGAATCTGTAAAAAAATTTTTGGCTTGTGTTAATATCAGGTATGTTCGTGCTAAAACGTTTCTCTGTTTAGGCTTCAGCCATGCAGTGCAATGGCCGTCAGGAAAATATGGTCTCCCCATGTCTACATCAGGCTGCCCTAAAGCCGATGGTTTCTCATGGGACACAGGATACATTTATCAGGACCTAGAAGTCAACACGACAACTTCTCCAAGTTTTCACCTCCAAGCTAAAGTCATGAGTTCAGGTGACGTCTTAAGGAACTTTTGTGTGAAAACCAACAAGTCTAGTGATTTAGGAAGACCAGTGTGGCCTTATGGTAACTACTGTATGTACATGAAAGGCAACAGCTGCCCTTTTGGCCTATCTGAGGGATGGGTGCTGTGGGACGACGACAATGGCATAACTGGAAACAATCTGAATCATCAGGGAGGCACTTTTCCAAAAGGAAAATTTGGTCAAGATACAAAAATATTCTTTTGCTGCCAAGATTATGGGTCCGTTAATAACCCCATAGAGCTACCCATAGACACGCCTTTCTATCTGATTGCGTATAACGGCAAGCGGTGTCAGGAAGTTCTCAAGACTATACACACCATTGAGTTTATAGTTTATGACACGGAGGATGATATCAATCATAACTCACAGGCATGGCCGTATCCCTTTGGCGCCGATCGTTACCAGCCTTATATTTACTATTGCTACTACACAGGTAAGGAATTCAAAGAGGCATTCATGGCCTTATAACCGTCAGTTTCAAGAGATTTCCCCAAGTTTTTCATTATTAATTAATCCAATATGATTTCAAGGCTAACTCTATGGTTTTGCCCACACCTGAAGAAATTTTGGTGAGGCGAATATTTTTATATTAGGAGTACATCTAGTTTTCCCCAGTACATATATCGGAGGAGATAACGAGCAAAACCAAAGGAGACAATTCTAACGTTGTATGGCTTCCCGTATTTCGTTGACTGTTTTACATTCGCTTTTCACTTATAATAACTAGAGAATGGAATTTATCATTCTGGATCGTTCCTTCCCATCATGAAAGTGGTGATGATAATAATATTACACTGAATTATCATCATCATCATCATAGTAATAGTAATAGTAATAATAATAATGATAATAATACTAATAATAATAGCAAAAGATGATGATAATGATGATAATGATTGTTAGTTGAAAATTATACCATGGCGATATCGAAACATTGTCTTGAAAATTTTCCTATTTCTTGTAAAATTATAATTATTATCAAATGAAATAACCCCATTGTTGCATACGCTACAAAAAGTACATTGAATACTTTTTCTTTTCAGCGTGTAGATGGACAATAACAGCCTTAAGCGGTACATTCTCAAGTCCTAACTATCCGCTTCGATACAAAAACAACGCATGGTGCGAATGGTTGATTAAAGTCCCACTGAACTATAACATTTCATTGAAATTTGATGATTTCTATCTAGAGACGGCTAGCTCTTGCATGACTGCAAGTTGTGACTGTGACTTTGTGGAAGTTCGCGAGACTTTTAAAAACGGAACGTCAGTTCTTATTGGTAAATACTGCATGGGGATATTTTACCCCTACGGTAACATCACTTCCCAAGGGAATAGTTTGATGATTGTATTCCGTTCAGATAAGACTGTAACAGCTAAGGGATTTAAAGCCAGTTATCAAGTCATTCCGCATATCACTGGTAAGTTTCGATAAAAATTGTAATCCGTTCAGAGTAAAAAAAACTTATCTTTTATTACAAAAGGAAAAAAATTCCGCTGCTGATTGCTGATTTCTGATTGATTGCCGGTTAAGGTTTTATATTCACTAATATCGATTACAAACGCTTGTTGTCTTATCGAGTGGCTATGCGACGTTTTTACGAAATTGGCAGTGGTCAGGGCAAATAAACAAACGGCATGAATTTCTTTATACGAACTGGTGTGACCTCACTCTACCTTAGCCACTTCTTTTTGTTTGTTTGTTTTGTTGCTGTTGTTGTTGTTCAGTTGTTTTTTTCTCCTCTGGGCTTTTGCGCCAGTCAAGTTTTATTGATATTTTTTCGATTGAGTTACAAAAATCAACTAGGACTAGATTTCTATGATCTTCGCCCAAAATTGGTATCACATTGCACCCCTATCTTTAAAGGCCACCTACTTCTTTTCTGAAGGAGGTCATTGGAGAGAGGTTCAACTGTAAAGAATTATTAGTCTTATGAGGCAGCAAAAGATTAAGTTACTTTCAATTATATCGTTTTACAGCACCTACCACCTTTAGCAGCACTGCAAGTACATCAACGGGAACCAACAGCCCCAATAGCCACACCTCCGCCATTTTGTCCAGCACTACTGGTATCAAATGGACGAAAACTACACTGCCAAGCAACAAAACAACAAGGACATGCATCCGAAAGCGGGAAATACTCGACCAGAGCAACAATGCCTTTCAGCAAACAAAGCACGAGTAAGTGAGTTTGTAAAGCCTTCATTTTCTCGTGAGCCAACTTCCTTTATAAAATAACACCTTAGAAGCTATGATATTGCTGCGATTTGATGTCGGATTGCGTACGAAGAGAGAACAAAGAAACAAATATCGTACTGAAAAATTTGATAAACTTTCAATTTCTTTGTTAAAATTTTCCAAATGTTCTGTTACAGGGAAATACTGATTACTCATTTAATAGGCAGGAGTCCAATCATGCCACCTTTTTTTTAAATCTCCCAACAGCTATACTAAATTGGAGTCTTTTCTGCAGACATGGTATTTGACAGTTATCTTACTTCAATTGCATTCAATAGGACCAAAACATAAGGAAGACAAAAACATGAAAAAAGTGAAGATGAAATGTTTAATCATGATTATACCCGCCATTTGAATTGTGGGAAGGGACCATCGACTATGGTTTGAAAGGTTTTTCATGTGAAGAGCGATCGAGAGATAACGAAAAAGAAAACAATCAAGAATATAGAATGTGAAAATCATTTACTAGACCTGCGGGACGAAGAAATAGTTAATAGTTAATCATGGGTGTGGCTGTGTCACGATCAGGAAACGATATTAAGTAATTCAACTTTCCATACCATTGAAAGTATTTGTCTTGTTATTTTACGCCGGATTTATACTTCTTGCGTAGTCAGTGCCACGTCGTTAGCTTCCTCTTCCACGACTGATGAACAGACAACAGCAATCATGAATAGTGAGCCTTCCAAGGAATCCCCCAAAACGAATGAAGCAACCTCGGCGGAAACGTTTAAACCAACAGACAGTGTGACGGAGCCAGGTGGTGATCACTCTAGTAAGGATAATTCAGGCACAAAAAATGTCCTCATCATTGCTGCTGTTACAGCCTCCTTGATTGCAGTCGCCATTTCAGTGACGGTTTTAGTTGTTTTTCTCTGTAGGAAAAGGTAAAAAAAAAATTACTTGAAAGTTTCAATTTTTTTTAGCGTTACTAATAAATGATCACCGTGCCTTTGTTTTTAAAAGACGAAGGATTAGTTTTGACTTTTTTATGGAGCCGCATCATTTTTATCGTAGCCATTTTTAGTTTATTATAAGTTATTGTGTCAAAGTTTTAATCTATATTTTTTTATCAATATGTACCTTTCTATAAATATATTCCATTGGTTAGTTGGTTATACACTATTTGGTTATACACCTAGGAGACTGAAAGGAAGTGATGTGGACCAAGCTAGACTGACAGTTAACTTTACAGCTGCAGAAAAAAGTAACGGGATCCCAGATATTATCCCATCGAGTATGTACGCTGGAAGGTAAGAATTATGCGGTAAATTTTTGTATTACGTCTATTTTTCGAATGTTTTATTGCAGCTGATGACCCACAGGCAACGACTGGACATGACTTTATTCATCAATAGACAATCGTTCAAAGTTTTGAAAGCGTTTTCCTTTTATATTGAAACAAATCTTTCCTTTTCAGCGCTCCCAGTGAACGAATCGATGATGAGCGCTACGTTGAACTGCAAGACGTGAATATGCTGTTGCGTGTAAGCAGGTAGGGTTGAAAAAATAAATATAACATTTACGAAACCTGCCCTTGCAACTTTGGGTTCATGGAACTACATTATAAACCTGGCGTGCATGGGCAACTTTTTTTTATATATCTTAGTTTATACCACTGTTCAGTAAGAGCAGAGGCGGGTATTCTTGCGGATAAGTTCGTAGGCCCCCTTTCAAAGCAGTTTTGTAACATACTGAGTATACCTACATTTTTTTAAATAAGGGTTTATATCGATCCTTATTTCATTTTATTTAATCCCACATATTAATTATATCTTTCCCATGTCTTATTGAATATTATTTTTAGGAGAATTATCGTAGTTGTGCAGTGTATTGTACATGTGCACGTAATTTAGTTCACTTTTATTTTTTTATCACACGACTCCAAAAGGTTGTTATTTTGCTTTCAAAATTTTTTTGAAGTGTTTAAATTAAGGATATCCAGACGATGATGATGACGAAAGCATATAAATTTATCTTTTGTTTCTACGTATTATAAGTTTTATCCCAGTTTCAGGTGTGAAAAAGAAAATAATATTTCGTATCGTGCATTAAGTTCAGAGCATGGAAGCCATTTTCATGCATCAAGTGTGAGTCTATGATCTGGGCTAAGAGAAGAATACAAGGAGATTCATTGAAAGTTAGTTAGCTATGTTAGGAACTTCATGACGTACAAAGTATTTACCATGACACCATCTCACATGACCTACCCTGGGTTCCAGAGACTTTTCTAGCGCGGTTTCCGGTTTCTGTCAAGTCTTTCGCCGCTCGTGGCTTCGGCCTACGGCCGAAGAGGTGTCGGCCTTCGGCCAACACCGAAAATTCCCGCCGCACGCGAGAAAAACCTCTGGTACCCAGGGTACACATGACCATTCATAATGGCCAAAATTTTACGAAATTAACTTTTACTTTTATTTTTCAGCATCGAGACAATTCAAGATAATAACAATGTTTTGTATGAAAGGTAAGAAACAGTTTCAGTCGGTTCTTTTGACATTTCTTACATATTTTTTGTTCTAATTGAAGCACACCCTCTTTGATCTGTTACTGCTCACAGTTGAAGCAGTTGATCTTGACATTTTTTTTGTTCCCCCCTCCCCCACTTCTGAGGTTTTTATGAGTGTTTTTTTTCCTGGACGATAAAACATCAGCACCTGACGATTTCAGTAGCTTTTCGCTTATCCTTCACCCACATTTTGAGACAAGTTTAGTGATGGACAGTCACTATGGTTACGACATATGACGTCATAAGTATCAGGTGGTCAAGTCATTTTTGAGTGAAAATGCCTGTTTTTTCAACTTCTTTCAACAATGAAGGTAAAGCTTGTGGATGAAATGAAGCATAGTGCTTATTTATGTGTTATTTTACGTGTTAAGCACAAAAAATTATCATTTCTCGCGGTTTTACCCTTTTTTCTAATTCAGTTCAAAGATGGCGACCATTCTTTGGTGACGTCGCAGGCCTCCAACAGCGCCCCAACCCATAAAATATACACCTCATTTTGTTGAGAAGATCAAAGGCTTTCCACTGAAGGCAAAATGGTTTCGAGATACTGCAACATATCAAAAAGTCTAGGGAGGGGTTCCATCAGCCCCCTCTTGTTCTACGGTGGGGAATTAATTCGCGTGTACGTCCAAGGGTTAAGACACCTTTTGGCAGTAAGACATGATATTTGTCTTTTAGCGAGTCCCTCGCTCCAACAAGCACCCTGGCCAATGCTCCACCTTATGTCTAATGCTTTTAATGTGCAATGTTTTCAGCATGGACGACTTTGCAAATTGTATACCTGAGAGCGCTGAATCTGATAATCCTGTATACGAGGGGTAGGTTAATTTTGTATCTCCATGACTAATTGTTATTAATATTTCCTTATGTTCTCAACCGATCACTTTAAAAATCCCATTATGGCTTAACGCTATACAACTATATTTTATTTGATATAGAAAGATCAGTTATACATTAAACATCTAAATAAAGTCGTACATATTTCAGCACTTCACTCATAAGTGTAATGTTTTTAGTATTTTGGCAACACGTACGAGTACTCATCACAAGCTCTTCACTTCTGTTTTTTTCTAGCATGGTTTAGCCAAGAAGAGAAAGTACTACCGTATGGGATCAGATGTTTGTTATGATGATTTGAGCAATGAGGCCAAAAAAAAAACTTAAATTTATATAATTTATTCGTTGTATAGTACTTACAATAATACTTTTGTAGACGCTTAATCTCGGCGTGGCAAGAGTTTCAGCGTGAGTTCGTCGACTCTAGTTCAAATTTTGCACAATATTACTCGATCAGAAACGCTTGCTACGCAGACTAGTGGACAGTAGAACGGAAAAGAATCTGTACAAATTAATTATTTTAATGGATAGAGGAATCAGAGAGAGAGGTGCTCGAAAGGGAGGGGACGGGGATTTCGGCTGCGGGGCGAGGGAAGGGAACACCATCCCCCTCGCTCATTCTTCTTCAGGCACCCACCAGCTAAAGGGCATAAGAAAAGGGTCTAACTCCCACAAGAGAGGCTTGGAAACCTACCACCAACAGGATAGTCGCCTTAGTTTGGCACACCAATATCCTGAATTCATGCAAAATGGTAACCTGAAATGTCAATTATAAAAGAACAAGAAGTAGAGCTATGCAGTCTTGCGTGATTTGTGTTTCCGCCAACTTTACAGTCTGAGTGGACTGATTCGAAATTGCTCCCCATCGCGCTTTTTTGCTTTTTGCAAATCCTTTTTATGGCAAGGCAGAACAATTTATAATCAGTTCTCAGTTGGCCAAGAGGTTCGACTTTCACGAAATTTGAAGGCCTCTAAAAATAGACTCGAAATAGACCCTTCTACGCTTGTTTTCAACTCTTGATAAAGAGCACTGCTGGAATTGATATCCATTTGCGGGCTTGTTTCTGTCACGTTCTATGCCTACACGGTGGTCTGCCTCTCTGACGAAGGATATCAGGGAGGGGAGATCCAGGATTTTTCTTAGGACGGGGTGCACCACTAAGAAATGGCGTAACTGACTGGTGACGTAAACAAATTTTAATACAGAATACCAGTTGTATTAAAAAGCCGCAGGGCATCTCGGGTGGGAGGGATGAGCAACCCCTGCACCCCCCTGGATCCGCCCCTGGATATACAGCTGTCATGGAACAAAGGATTTTCCCATGCACGAGGGTGGCAGGTCTCCCATATAAAAGTGACGGAGATGCTTGTAGTCTGGCCATAAAATAGCTATTGTAGACTCCCTCGCAGCCGTTTTTTGGGGGGAACGTTGCGTGACTTCCCCCCCCCCCCCCAAAAAAAAGGTTCTGTGGGCAAATGACCCTTTCTTCATTTGCATGAAATACACTGTTCACGTCCAAACGCTGATTGATAGGAAAATTACTCCTGACAGGTGTGAAAAGTTACCTACATCACATTCATAACTGAATTAGGAAGTGTGAAGTATTATGCAATTTCTAGCACTTCTACAAAATATATGCTAATTAAATCGTCCATGTACCGAAATATCAATGTGGAAGCGACTAAAATCGTCGATATAATGCAAAGAGAGAACATTATTGGTTATAATGTCCTATAATGCTGTTAGCCAAAGTAATTATTATCTATTAACGGCTGGGCGGGAGTCCGGGCTACTCTGGCCAATAAAATGAGATTCATATGACCGGGACATATGACCCCTGTATGACCCTTGTTGGAGTGAATGAATACTCTGTCATTGTATCCAAGTTTCGTTTTGAATTGACCCCAACTCTGCTAAGCGAACTGCGAGGACATTCAAAATCGATCTGAATGTTTTATACCGGTCTTCTTTATTTACGAACGGAAGTAAATCTAACAATTGCCGCAGCATGCTTGGATTTGTGATTTTCTGCTGTTTAACTACGCGAGGTAGGTGCCGCCTTTACATGAAACATCGTCTATCTTGTTTGGGTTTGGGTTAAAATGCAGCAATATCAGCCAAGGGCTCCTTAACCTTAAAAATAGGCCATTAATTCATTCAACAATCATAGTTTGACTAATTGAGTACGTGTGCGGGTAAAGTACTCACTCTGCCTCTGGGTCTCGACATGAAAAAATTAAAATACGCAAGGTTTGAATTGGGTGTATTCGTTATCACTCGTCTCGTAAGAACAGCTGTTCACGTCTGAAAAGTTATATTTTGAGACAGTGTACGAAACGCTAGAGAAGCATACCTCATCGAGAGAGGAAAAACTCTTGAACCATTAGGTATGAATAAGAAAGATGAAATGTAGTACATTCTTTATTTCCTTTGTTTGTGATCATTTATTTATACTACTATTTTTACATTTCAAATTTCTGTCGTATCACTACTTCAACGGTTTTTGTTTTCACTTTTTTCTCATTAAAACTTCACGTGTTATTATAGTATCATATTGCACGCTATTCTTTATTTCAAATTGTAACGTCTTAGCGTTAAGAACTTCGTCTAGCCTGCCAAAACATTCGTTTCTCCTCGCCCTTCGCCGCCGAGGACGTTTCGCGAGTGTCTAGATTTTGGTCTGAAATGAGGTTTCAAAACCCCGGGGGTTGGGCTACTCCCCTATACAGTGGATTCTCGATTTTTCGAACCTCCTTGGGAAAAGAAAATATGTTCGAGGTTAGAAAAAACCAGGGTAAAATTACAGCTCTTGACTTGTGAAAGGAAGTTTGATAGGTTGGCTCGAATTCGCTCACCGGAAACAGGAAACAAAAGAATGAATGTCGAAAGTGGCGGCGGTCACTTCAGAAATTTTGAGTACTTGTCGCTCGCGAGAGAGTTTTTGACGACAAGGTCGCTTACGGGAGGTGGTAATTTACGAGTAGAGCTAATTAAACTTTACAGAAGCATGTGACGTCCCAGAGGGTATGGATTTTGAGCCATTTTGGTTTCTTACTTCTTGCCTTGCGGACATCCCGATTATACTGACAGCAGCTAAATCCCCTCCAAAAATATCTTACAGATGTGTTACTGAAATAAACTCTCGCTATTACGGACTCTCGCTGAAGAGGACACTAACTCAAGCTCCCTACAGTGTTCGCTATAAAGGGAGTTGACTGTAAATGGAAATAGGTCGAATTTAGGGACGGCCGCCATTAGAAAACTTATCGGGGAGGGGGTGCAAAGTACCAAAAAAAATATTGATGCAAGAGAAAAAGTTCATACTAGGAAAATGTTCGCGAAAAAAAAATTCAAGCGGCTCGAAAGTCCCTCCCCCCGCACCCCGTAACTATTCTATTGGCAATGGTGTCCGTCCCTTGGAGAAAAGGTATGAAAATAAGGTGAAATAGTACGTAATAATATTAAACGGACGGACCATTAGAAAACTTATCGGGGGGGCGGACGAAGTACCAAAAAAATATTCGCGCAAGGGAAAATTAAATGAAAAAAATTCTTGCACGTCAATTGATCATGAAAAATAGTCATGCCATGGCCTAAAAAAAATTCATACAAGGAATTTGACAAGGAAAAAAAATTCCTGCGGCTCGAAAATTCCCTCCCCCCCCCCATAACTTTTCTAATAGTCCGTCCCTATGGTGTTCGTATGTAGTGGGGTTTGACTGAATGGTGTGAAACCGTGTGTGTTTTAAGGGAACGATGAAAGAGTGTAAAAAAAATTTGTCTTTCCAGTTCGGCTAAATAAATACCGTATTTATTCGAATAACCGCCCAACCTCGAATTAGCGCCCACTTCTAATAAGCGCCCATCCTAAAGGCAGAAAAAGTTAATTAGCGCCCAGCCTCGAATAAGCGCCCACCCTCTCCTCTTCCCAATCAAACTCAAATAAGCGCTCACCCCCACCCCACCCACTTGAGTGAATAAATTCTAATAAGAGACTTCCCCGAGGACGGAGTTTTCTTCAGAGTATTTTACAGAAACCTTGCTTTGTTAGGGACGGACCATTAGTTAGAGTGATGGGGGGCGGGGGGTGGGGAATTTTCAGCTTGCACGAATTTTTTTTTCAGGTGAAACCCTCTGCACGAATTTTTTTTTCAGACAAATATTGCTTTTTTTTAACAGTGAAATCTTGACTCATTATCTATGTTTTTGTGCTTTATAAATTATTCTACACTCACAACAGATCAAAGGATACAGGCCACTTTGATGCAAAATCTTTTCGAAAATGTACACACAGTGAAAGAGGAGGAAGCCACTTGGAGTGGACGGCTAAGATTTATATTTTTATTATAAATTTTATATGTTGAAAAGTTTAATATTGAAACTGTTTATGGATAATTAAATGTATTTATGATATTTATTATAATACAGGATACACTGTATGTTGCAGGTAGACTGACTGCCTATGAAAACCATACTTTGTGGTTCTTAATTTTTGTTAAAAGTACCGGTGGCAGTGTTGCTGTTTCTGTCGTTGACAGTTAAAGTTTTAACACTTACTACTAGGTGTGAATGCACTTTTGCGTTGTATTATAGAATTCTTATTCAAGGCGGTAAGACCCTTCCTCTAATTTTTATTGTGGGCACAAATAACGTTATAGAATGTTTACAAAGCTACCAAATTCTCTTATTTATTACAAATTTTATTTTATTATTCTTATTATAATACCGTATACAGTGTATGTTGTAGGTACACTAGCTGCAATTTAAAACAAAAACAAGGTTCTAATTGTCTCCTTTAAATAAGAAGAAAGTGATTTTTGTTTATTCATATTGTGCCTGGTAATATTGTTGATTTCTGAAACTCAGACTTTCTGAAAGAAACTCAGATTTTCTGAAAAAGTCACAATTGGACCTTCCTTCTGCGTGAATTTTTTTTCTTTACCTTCTTCTTTGTATGAATTTTTTTTCTTGGCAGTTTCCCTCGCAAGATTTTTTTTTTTTTTTTTTCCCCCCCACCATCACTTTTCTAATGGTCCGTCCCCTACTTCTTCGCGTTTTGTTATTAGCATTTATTGTTTTGTTGCAAAATGAACATACTTCACTTGTTGAAAATAGTGAAAATTTAATAAGCGCCCAGCCTCGAATAAGCGCCCACTCTCAAGGTCCAAAAATTTAATAAGCACCCAGGGCGGTTAATTGAATAAATACGGTAAGAACGCTCCGTGTCAAATACTACTAAAATATAAGAAATACCATACTTCTTTTGAAGAAGGTAATGGGTCGGCAAATACATTTCTCAGAAGCCAGGTCCGAAAACGGGTTATTGTTTGGCTAGTCTGCGTGGCATGGGTCGAAAGGGGTAGAGGATAGTGAGTAAGGGGAAAAGGGAGGGGGATTGGGGAGAGAGGGGAGGTTATTTCTCTCAAAGCTACTGAGTCTCTGAGTCTGACCAGTGCCTCAATTGGCTTGAGAGAGACGAAAACTTAAAAACGAAGCTGGTCTACTTATACTAAGTTTATTTCGCAACAGCTCTCCACCAATTTTTTGGACGAGTGTGATCTTTTTATCTGTGATAAGAAAACTTACAGTCAATCTGGGCTGAGTTGCTCAAAGCATGGTTAGCTTTAACCATTGGTTAAGCAGTATCAAGACCAATACGTTGTCAAGGTATTAAACGCTGGTTAACGCTAGCCATGCTTCGAGCAACTGGGCCCAGGTCGCGTATGAGAGTCGGAAGTCTTTTCAAGCAGTGACCAAGTACTAATTTGGAGAAAATTTGGTGCAGTTCCAGTTCCTTGTTTAGTTTACTTTAAGGAGAGTAATGCATAGCCCACTGTTTTTTCACGCCAAATGAAGTCTACAAGGAAGGTTTGAATCATATTGATGACGTTTCACTGCCCAGATCTGGGTAGTGCTTTTGATTGGTCGTGCGGCGAGGAAACTTTTTGCTTCAACCAATTAAATGCACTACCCAGATCTTAGTCGGTGGCACGTTACCACGAGTATGCAGTTTCTGCAGTCTTTCCTGGCCGTCATTTCGCGGAAAAACCAGTTGTGGCGTTGCCAATTACCGGCTGTTTCTTTCGGCATATATTGCATATACCGAACAAAGATATTAGACCCAAAGTCAAAAGGTCTCTTACAAGAGGTTGAAATCAATGGGTAATCAGTATTAATCGTCAACTCAAAAAGCGGTCGCGGGCTTCAGAAACGGTCAGCAGGTGTTGGTTAGCCTATTGACCTTATAAGATCTGGAAGTCCAGATAGATTAACAGACCCTTCCACGGTTTTTTTTAACTTTTGACTTGGATAAGTCAGGGAAAATCCGTCAACTCCACTAGAAAAAAGCGTCTTATAAATCGGCAAGATTGCGAAGTTTGAAAGTGATTTGTTGAAACCTAACAAAGACGTAGCTCCTCAAAGTCGCGAAATTTTAGAGACGTTTGTATGGTGGGGGGGGGAGGGGGGGCACACACTTGCCCCACGTCACCATACAAACGTCTGTAAATAGAAGGTGCTTTGGTGCTTTCCCCAGTGGTGCTGACTGATCCATGTCAAAGGTTGAAAAAACCGTGGAAGGGTCAGGCTTCACCTTTGCTAAGCAAAGGCATTTTTCTTCAGGTCTTTATAAATTTTTACTTCTATTATGTAAATCTTCCAAATAAGAATGAAAACAAAAGTCAACTTGACAGTAATCGAATATATTGTTCATTATTTTTGGCACGCAGTTTTTTCCAGTTCTGCACTATGGCCTCCAGGAGAGTATGGGTTACCAATGCCAAAGTCAGGATGTCCAGGCGCGAATGACTTTACCTGGACTACAGGTTACATTATCCAGGATTTGCAAGATGGATCAAGCAGCAAAACAAATATCTCCTCCCACTCAAATCTTCAAGCAATAGTGACAAACGACGTGCAGCAGTACTTTTGTATTAAGTCAAACCAGACAACAGTTAGCGATGCTAAAAGGAAACCATGGCCTGCGGGCGAGTATTGCATCTATCAGAAAGGGAAGAGCTGTCCCGCGGGTATGTCGAGCGGTTCAGTGTTTTGGGATGACGAAAATGCTAACGGCAACAACAAAAATGCCAAAAACGGTTCGCTTCCGGAAGGCGTCTTTAACGAGGATACTAAAATATTCTTTTGCTGCCAGACCAATGGTGTGCACAGTACGCCTATTAAGTTACCAGTCAAGAAACCATTTTACCTCATAGCGGTCGGACCATACTGTCAATTAGTACTCAACACAGTTTATACACTGGAATACATAGAGTACGATACTGAGGATGATAACAATCATGACAAAGTAACATCTCCTCATCCTTTCGGAGCTAACTTGGTTCATCCAAGAATATACTACTGCTACTATCAAGGTACGCCAGCATTCCTTATTTTAGCTATTAATAGTTCTCAGTTTTTAACATTTTTTTATCATTGTAATCAATTAGTTATTTTTGATCTTTTGTTAATGAATCATTTTTGTGAACTTGTACATAGGATTCGTTTTTTAGATATTTTAGCATGTTATTCAAAGGAGACTGTGTGTAATGAATCGGTCATTTTTGATTTAATTTATTTTAATGTAGTTTAACAGCGAAGAGCCAACGCAAGGATCTGTTGAATAAGCCATAATTATTTATTATAATATATGATTATTTTCATAAAAATGGGCAATATAAATAATAAGTATTGTCATTATTATTAGTAGAAGTAGTAGTAGTGGTAGTGGTAGTGGTAGTTGTAGTGGTAGTGGTAGTGGTAGTAGTAGGTGTAGTAGTAGTAGCAGCAGTAGTAGTAGTAGTAGAACTAGTAGTAAGAATAAACAAGTTTAACCTTAAAAATAGTTTTTTCATCGAATTGAATTGTTTTACTTCAAATGAAATGTTTTCTGATTCGAATCATTTTATTAATTAGATGAATTTTTTTCTAATCAAAATAAAGCGTTTTTTAATCGAACGGAATTGTAAATAGTGTTTTGACTGAATAGTTTTTTTATGCGAATTAATTGTAAATAGGAATTTAATAGTTAGCATTGTTATCAATAAAATTATTATTGTTTAAAATTATTATTATTATTATTATTGTTATTATTATTCCTTACTTCTTCAATTGAGTGAGGGTACTTAGATAACTCGTAGCTAGCCAGTGTTACTTAACAACGATTGGGGTATGGACCAAGATATCATTTTAACAAGAAAGGTTTTGCACTTAGCCTCGTTTTTTGAAAGTTTTTGGATCTCGGAAATAGCCTATTATGCCAAGTGCTAGCATTTGGTAGTCAATGAAGATTTTGTTCACACTAAGCAAACCACTTAATCATCATTATCATCATCACAAATAATTTTCTGTTGTCTAACCCAGGGTGACTAGGCTCCAGTTCAACCTTATCTTTCATACGTATTTTAAACGACATTTAAGCTCCCGCCTTCTGACGAAGGTGCGTTTTGATGAAAGAGATTCGCTAAAAGTGAAATGTCTTTCTGTTCAAGCGTAGCAGACCATATTACTACGCCTAGCATAACTACTGCCAAAAGAAACGACACAAGAACAACAACGATGTCATCACAGACAAACAGTGCCCCTTCCACAACAACGCCACTGAGCAACGGCACAAGAACAACGTTGTTTTCCAGGTCGACACGACAGTCAACTTTGCCTTGGGTAAAAACAAGCAGTGCCCCTGCTACAACAACACCACCGTCCACCCCGGACGCAAATATAAACGACACGGAAACTACGGCTGCAGCCCCCAAATCAACGCAGCAAACTTCGACGGACGCGACCATCCCAGGTCCCGGTACAACTATGGGCAACAAAGAGAGCGTGCTTGAAACAGACAAAGGATCTGAAAGCAACTCTCCAGGAACTGTGATTTATATCATTATTGGCATCATGGCTGCTTTGATCGTGGCTGGTTGTGTGGTGGCAGTAGTAGTGTTTTATTATTTTAGAGATCGGTGAGTCAGTAGTATTAATAACAATAATAGTAGCCTGTGAACAGGCCTTTGCTCTTTCCTTTCCCTTTCCTCGCCATTTTTTTCCTTAAACAGAGAACCCGTTCACAGGCTACAATAATAGTAATGATAACAAAACTTCGACGTTTGAACTGGTCTCATGTCACACATGGGGTAAGGCAGAAGGGAAACTCATTTGCTCTAAGCACCTTTGTTCAAATTTGATGTGTCTCTAGAATTAGAAAATTCCTCATCAGTCAAAGCATTAAAGCACAAAACAGACGACGCGTTAGAACGATACAATGGCATTTAACAACTGCCTTTAATTTATATTATATTTTGGCCACTTTTATTTATTTTTATTTGTTACTTATTTATTGACCTCTGGCCAATTTGCAAGAATCGTCAATTTTGATGGAGGCAAATTAATGGCAGATAGATTGATACATGTCACAAAGTGCCCAAACGCTGTTTTTATTTATATTTTAGTCACAAAAATGGCGGAAACCTTAACGCTCAAGAGAGGGTCGCAGTCGTGTTTTCAAGGGAGGAAAATCCAGCTTCCCCTGAAATAAAAGTAAAAAGGTTGGTCCCTCAAATTTTTCATTAATTCTCCCTCTGATTCCTTCGTTAATTTTAACTACTAGTTTAATTAAAATAACCCGCTTATTAGCATGAATAGCGTTGTCATTCTCATTCATTGTTATCATTCACACAACGTTTCTATCGGTCTTCTACTTCCCTCGGGGAGCTTTTGTCATCCACCTCGGCCTTCGGCCTTGGATAACGTTCTCCTCGATCTGCATAATTCTTCATATCTTACTCAACCCCATTATATTATATGGTGGGGGGAAGAAAACAGCAAAGGGTTTCACGAGCAAAACAGCTACTCTGTATGTACCTCACTTTTGCCGTCTCCAGGCCTGTAGCCAGGTTTTTTTTTACGGAGAGATGCCATCCAACAAGTAGACGGACCAAACGAGGCCGAAGGCGTAAGTCTGTTTGTGGGGGGGAGGGGGGGGGATTTGATTGTCCGAGACTGCATTTCGTGCGTTTTGAAGGAGGCATGATAAAAAAACAGGTAGCCAAAAGCGAAACGTGGATATTTCGCAAAATCTTTGAACTTTAAAATTGATTTTTTTTTTTTGGCAAAGAGACTACTTTATGTATGTTTTTAAAAAAAAAAATGAAAATGGCAATGGGGCTATTTAAAAAAAAAAAATAGAAAGAAAGTTGTAAATCCGATCATTCACCCTGTATTCACTACAGGTATTCATTGTATTCATCTTTCAGTAGTATGCAAGTGATTGCCTCTTATCAAGAGATCAACGACTTCTTCAGATCAATGTCTGTTGCCTTAAAGATTTTTTAATGAAGAAACTCAATAGTTGATAAACATCTGTAGCCTTAAAATCTTCACTAATGGCACTTTTAGTTTCTTTTAGAGACCGTTTTCGAACAGAGGTATCTATGGATTGACAAAATCTGGCGGCGGCCTCCCTTCTTGCTCTCTCCTGCCCATTTTCTAGCGAACTATGTTAAAAACTGTTCAAATGTCCCAAAGTTGAGAACGATTTTGCAATTATATTGTAGGTACCGTATAACTAATTTACTTTGTTTTCAATTATCTTTGGTCAACAAAAGAGTGGACCTCCGGAGCCTTTAGGGAGGGGAGAGGGTGCGAGTCCACCCGTCGCACTCCCCGCTCTACGCCCCTGGTTCCTGTACATCAAATTTTACGTTTTACAGAGCACGAGAGCACAAGACGTTCGATTTGATGTTCCTATTTTCTAGGATTGTATCAACTTAAGGATTGCTTGACAAACTAGACGAGGTGGAATTCCAGTGTTGGAGTTTAAATCAGCGCTATTTAACTTTTCAAGTGACGTTTTGGATGCTGTGGCTGTCTTGTAGTTACTACTTAAGTTCCCTCACTGTTAGCTGTTCTAGCAACTTTTTATGCATGTTTGCATGAATTCACAGAGCTAGTGTATGTGATGATTCTTATTTTCGCTATTGGCCCTTAATGCACGATATATGATAGTGTTCATTGAGAACAACGGAGAGCAAATGACCAGTAATAGTATAAAATAAGACTGGTCAGGAATGTAGGAAATTACGAAGGGATCTCAGTAAAAATTCGTCTCAAAATATTTTTCACTCAAATTTTATTTGTACTTAAAACAGTGGTGCTTCCTTTTTCTGTTACGTAGTGTGTCTCATTTAAAAATGAAATACTCCACCATTACATTTTCGAGCTAAGCGATTGAATTTTTTGTTTCAGTGACACTAACAACAGAGAACGTTACGAAAATGTAGGAAGTTACAGAAGTGGGTGTGACGGAGCTAATGATCTGAATGATGGGTGAGTCCTGTCTTTATTTAGCCTCCCACCAGGTGTTTTAGGGGAGCTCGTTTTTCATCCCTCCCCATGTGGGGAAGGATGAAAGACGAGCTCCCTTAAAAACGCCTGTGTGGGAGGTTAGGCTTTGCTCCCCCGATTTTCTGGAAATAAGAGAATCACCAATCCTGAAAAAAACCTATCTTAAGTATTCACGCGCTTTTTAAGCACCAGAATCGATTACCAGCTGCTGTTTGGGTAATGAGGCCGAGCTCCTGACTCCAAAAAAAACTGCGTCAATCGCACCCACACGGTCCCTCGTTTTCTCTCGTGTCTCGCCTCTCGTCGCTCGAGGTGATTTTCACGCGCTCTCGCATATTTCGTACGTCTAACCCTCCCTGAGGTAAATGCGTGATTACTCGGGACTAGGTCTGAAATAATTTAAGTATAGTTTCATTTCGGTTTTCTTTTCTAACAGAGATTGCCAGAACCCCTACGAAGAGATCAAAGACAAAGGAAATCCACTGTATGGTTTCAGGTAAAAATATTGTTGAACTTAGTCACCTTATACACAAACCAAAGTAATGACTATATCAGAGAAACACTAGCAAGACTAGCAACCCCAGCATCGGTGATCTGATTTCTGTTCAGATCCAGTGTAGTTAGTTGACAGGTGACTATATCGTACAAAAAGCTCGACTGGCTAAATAATCATGTTTAGGTCTTTTAAGTTTCAACTGACATTTCTTTCGAGCCTCTACATTATCGTTTCTTTAACTCTGTCTTTATGTAACGACATTAACTTAAAATTTATTTATGTAATTAAAAAAAAAAACGTTAATCCCTAAAAATCAGTTGCTTTTCTGCCCCACTTAGGTTAGCTTTTGCTACCTGCTGAACAGTGTAATTGTTGTTGTGACTGCAGAACAAAAATTTACCAGGTTGTGTAAATTGCCGAAAACTTCTTTATTACACCACTGCTTTTACCTAGCTTAGTGTAATTATAGCCTATTATTAAGGAAAACAGATGGATTTATTGATATTTGCTGGTTTTAAAACTCTACATTGTTGCCTGTG